CGTAAGCAAAGATGAGAGGGTGCCAGAAATTTGGGAAATGCTTGCCTTTACTTCATAAGTCTTGTGATAGTTATGATTGGGGAGCTACTTCCATTCTTACTGATAGTAAAGGATGAAGAAATAATAACAAAAGGGGCTCTCAGTGACTGATCTTCTTACAAGTGGTATTCCTCTAAGCCTGGGGAACTGTTTCTCCATTGAGTGTATGAAGAGTCAGGTCTGGTGGCTCAGAATAGAGGTTTGTGCAAATCACTTATTGTGCTTTTTAAACAGGACAGCTTTCCAACCCTTCCAAATTAATTTTAAACATTTGTACTGCACAGCCTGAATAAGCAATCTAAGTTCCTTTAAGTCTTGTTCCTTGAATGAATCAGGTTTGAGTATTTAATGGAAAGTGGTAGGACCTATGGAAGACTTAGGTGTACTGTGTAAGGTATACCTCATACTTTTTTTAGCCAAAACTTAAATTGTCATGTTTGAATGTTTTGCTGCTTAAAAAGAAGAAATGAGTCTTTCTTAAAAAGAAAAAAGCAGAAATGAAACTGGAAGGGCTCTTAGCTCACCTTGAACAAACTACCTAGAATATGAGAGAACTGATATTATTATTATAACTTATTTTTTCTTTGGCATCTGTTTTTATTTCAGGTATGTATTTTATTGTTTGCAGTTATATACCAGCAGGTTAAAGGGAAGTGTGTGAACTAAGTTAAATTCAGAAAGACTAAATAGCTTTAGCAGGTTTCAGTGGGGAGAGGAGGTACTCTGACCTTTGGATTTGGGCAGTAGTATTATTATCTCCATCCGTGCTGGGGGATGCTTTAGTTAGTGTTCTACCAGAAGAAATGAATAATAGCAAAATGATATTAATATTGGCCTTGAAGTAAGAGTTTTTAAGTACAGAGAGATGGCTTTGTTTGTTTGTTTGTTTGTTTGTTAAGAAGTGTTTTTCTTAGCTTTGAAATCAGAGGGATATGTCTGGCACTCTGGGATTTAATGAGTTTAAAGAACTCTGGGCTGTGGTCAATGGCTGGAAGCAACACTTTGTAACTTTTGACAGCGATGGAAGTGGCACAGTGGATCGTCAAGAACTGGAGAAAGCCTTGATGAATATGGGTAACTTGTGAAATATTCTTGCTTCTGACACTACTTACACCATTTCCCAGTACCAGTTATCACCCTGTAGTAACTGGCATGATATTTACAATGAAAAATGTGTTGGACTCTGTTAATTTACCTGTGTTTTCAAGATAGGACTTTTTATTTTCAAATAGGATTTAGACTGAGCCCACAGGCTGTGTCTGCAATCACAAAGCGATACAGCACTCACGGAAAGATTGCATTTGATGATTACATTGCCTGCTGTGTGAAACTCCGAGCTCTCACTGGTATGCTGGATTATAGCTTTGTTACTATTATTCCCATAATATAGTTTTATTTAATAATATCTGATTGCTCACTTATTTCAAGTTCAACTTTTGTGTACTGCAAAATAGGTTTCTTTCAATAGTCCACAGGCAGAACTAGAACAGTTCTTACTACAGATAAAGATTTTTTAAATTCCAGTGGAAAAATGGACTTAAAACTAATGCAGGGTTTAGTCCAGAGACTAGAAGAGTTATGTTATCAAAATTGGGAAATTGTGTTTATTAACAGAATGTAAAGGGTTGTATATCATAAATACAAAAATTTAGAATGGGAAATCAAGTCTTGGAATGAATTGCATGTTCTTTATTGGTTCTCATTCATGTGACTTCATGGGAATTTTAGAAAACTACTATACATTTTCTAAACATTTATTAACTGTAGTTCTTCTTACCTGGTTTCTGTTTTCTTATTGCATTTTTGCAGAATGCTTTAGAAGAAGGGATACAACTCAACAGGGCTTTGTGAATTTCCAGTATGATGATGTAAGTGAATTTTCAGGAATACATTAAAATTTCCAGGGCAAAACCAAGGAAAAACTTAAAACAGAAGACAATCAGTAATGATTTGAGTTTGTGCCCATCTTCTTTACACTTCTCTACTTAGTGTAGAGAAGAGACATTTAGAGCGCAGAAGTTCTGGGGCTTGTTGAGTATTGTCTCAAAAAGTTTTCATTTATTTTATAGATTTCTCTAAAATGTTGTTGTGCACTTTTGTCTGGACTTCTTATCAGCCTGGTTCAAGAAGATCCAAGAAGCTACATCACTTGATAGCATCACTTTCTGTGACTTTTTTTTCATTTTTTTTATTTTGAGGCTTGGTAGGCATTTTTCCCAGGAAGGGTTGGCAGAGGTCTGATGGGGAGAGACACAAATCACACAGTCAGGCTTGTGGTTATAGGCTTCCTGTCCACATTTGTGCAGGAAAAGGACAAAACTAACTTCACATCTTCCTGGTTTTTGGGGTGGGTTTTTTTTGCTTGGGTTTTTTTGGGGGGTGTGGGAGGAGGCATTTGTTGGGTTTTATTTTTGTTATCATTAAGGAGATGCTTTGTTTTAATTAACTATTTACTGATTTTCATACTTAATTTTAAAGTTTTGTTGTTGTTGTGGACTGAATTTCTTTACAGAAAAGTGTAGTGACAATGAGTATTGTAGGAGAAAAAGTGAAAACTTGTTCTCTGTCTTACACCTAATAAGTGGGTTTTCTCTTTTCAGTTCATACAGTGTGTTATGAGCATCTGAATCAAAAGGAAGCAAGCCGTGGATGATCATGATTTAACATTCCAGTTTGTGTTTTGCTTTGCCAACTCTTCCAATGATTGTGTATCTCAGGATGGGAAATTGCATATTTTATGAAGTACCGCTTTACACACATTTTTTTTAAGTCTTGATAATGAATATGAACTACTCATGTACTGTTGTCTATAACTTCCAACCTGTGATTATTAAAGATGCTTTTATTTTTATAAACTTGCAATTCACTATGTATAACTCAGATCATGCAGATGGTTAAGATTTTCTGTAATGTGTTTACCTTTTTCCCATGATGCACTAAAATGAGTTTCTGGAGTGCAACTTACCTTTTTCTGTCTTAAACAGTAACGTGTATGACTTAAGATGATGACTTCTTTTGTCTTTGATGGTATAAGACAGATGCACAAACTGAAAGAGCTTTTGGAATGGTCATTTTACACTGATCTGTGAGAACATCAGTGCGTATTTTGTCAGCTATTTTCAAGACAAAGTTTGTGACACCATGCACTGAGTATGAGAGTACCTGTTGGAACTTCTTGTAAGCAGGGATTTAACAAAACATAGCAGAGAACTCTTCTAGCCGCATGCTCTGGTATAGGGGCTTTTGTTCCTATAAGGTTCTTCCTCTGTGTCACTATATAAAATACTTATAAACACCCAAAAGTTGTTCCGTGTCAGTTTGTACATCGACTTTCCCTTTTAACAATTAACTTCTAAGCTGACAGACTTCAGTTACGTGTAAATGAATGTATCTCCTCCCCTTTAAACCCTAACAAGTAGGGTTTGCCTCAGTATGTCATCTAATGTACAAGGGCCTAAACCCACTTCAAAAAAATCCTTGCCAGATTTGTCTTTCAGATCACAGCAGTAGCATGCCCATGAAAGCAGATACAGAAAGACATACAACAAAAGTAATCCTCAGAGCAGAAATCTTGCTTGAAGATATTTTTTATACCCTACCTTGCTAAGAATACTATAAAATTCAGGTCTCCAGTGTCTGGGCTATAAATTCAAAGTGGGCTGGTCTCGCCTAAAGAAGCAACTTGTACTTACTACTTAAATTTAGAATCCCTTGGATATTGCTTCTAGTTTTATTTCAGGAGCTAGTTCTCTTTCTGCATAGACAGCATTATACTTTCACATTCTGATAACTGCACATTGTCCCATTGCATATAAAGTTGGGAAACAGACACAATGCTACAGAAAGCATTTCTGATGTAATGACCAAAATCCATAAAGGTTCGTCCAAGTCAAGTAGCCAAACATCAGTTTTGCTGCAGTCCAAAATGCTGACAGCTGACAAGGTTAGTAAGAGTATAAACCAAAGGCTATTTTTCCTCTAGGAATTTATTTTGAATTTATTTTGCATAAATATGGTGTTCATCCTTACACTGTTCATTTTACCCTAAAAACGATGAGGCATCATTACCAAAACACTAATTACCCACGCAACTTTTCTCTACCTCTGCTTAGCTGTGTTTCTGGTCTTGTAGTGGTTTTGCTGAAATACAGTTAATTTTCTTTATGGCAGCCCATAGGCTCTGTGTTTTATATTTGTGACTACTCAGCATCAGTAGAACAGCAGTGGTTCAGCTGTTGCTGGGCAGTGCTGGCACAGCTTCAGGATCTTCTCAGTTTCTCACTCTGCAGCCACAGTGAGCAGGCTGAGGGTGGGAGGGAATGGGGTGGGGAGAGCTGACCCAAATGGGCCAAAGCACTCAAGGCCCAAGGGCCCAAGACTCAAGTCTTTCTCAGTTTATTTTAGCACCAGCCAGCTACTGGGCAGTGAAACGCTGCAAGAAAACAGTGTGAATCAATAGGGTTTTTCTTCAGTGATCTTTGTAAACACAAACCAGAGAAAACTGGAAAACAAATTGTTCCAAAACCAGGAGAAAACTGAATATACAAGGTTGAATATACAAGTTATCTGCTTCAGAGAAACTGTTATCTCAAACTCAGATAAGGGTTTCTCTTTCCGACAAGGCACACTGGGAAGGATGCTTGATACCAAGAGGGGTGATTGCTCTTTACCTCTATGCAAACCATTGGGCATAGTTTCAAATGGATATTTTTTCTAGGTTGACTTTCAACATGCAAACTAAGTAATAGTAACTTTAGATTTGCTTTGAGAAAAGTAAGCCCCCTAAGATAAAGATTTGAGAAGGTCACAGGATCATTTTCAACCCTGGAATTTAAAAAAATAACATCTGTATTATACTATTAGTCTTTTCCCATGCAAGCATCATCTTTTTTTTATAGAGACCTATAAATCAAAAAGTGCTAAATACAAGGGCTTAGAAGAACAAAATACACACAACAGTCTTTGTCATTGAAAATCACTTTACTGATGTTACAATATGTTAGTAACATTGAAAACCACAGGCATTTGTATTAAATACTCTCATAGAAGTGGATAGTGTGACACTGTTATTATTAAAAGTGAGCAGGAATTTAGAACCCCAAATTACAATGATCTGATTTTATAAAATGAAACATTTTGTTTAGATACATGAAAGCCAGATTCATTCAACAGCCCAATGCCTGTAATGTTTATGACAAAAATATCACACTCAAAGCTAGAAAGTTGTAAATTGCAATGCTTTGATTTGGTGTTTGTCAAAATCTTATGCTTCTATTACCTCAGATATGACTTTACAGGATTTTAACTAGCAAAGACAACGACATGGCGCAGATTGTTGTTTTTGCCAATACTAGCCCAGCCACAGTAGTGAAACACAATTCTCCTTTCCTCTCTCAATAAGGGCTAGTATGAGTGAAAAAATAGCTTTTTTTTTTTTTACAGCAATGCCCAAGTTAAGCATTAGCACAAAATGAAGATGGCAGATCCAGTTGGTGTATACCACCCCAAAAGCTTTGCTGAAAGGACCAGTCATACCATAAATAGTGTTTTCTCCAGCAGATTAAAAATTCTGTAACACTTTGCTATTCTGAAAAAAATATTTTGCATTTATGCAATGATAAAAATAAGTACTGTATTCTATATAAAACATTACCTATTGTAATATATTTTTACCCTTAAGAAAAGAAAAATCAGGTTATATATTCACAGTTTGAATATGTTCTGGACTGTATTTCCAAGCATAAAATATGCAGTCTACACAGGCAATGAGCAGGAGTTCTTGTACCACTGATCAAAATAAATCAGCATTTACTGTTATACAGAGCCTTACAATATTGCATGGTTATCTGCTTGCAGCACTATACTTACAAGGTCATCAGGCCTATATACAGAATTTCTAACATGGTTGTAAAAATAGACTCTCCATGCTAAAGTTAGAATATATTAGGTCTTAAGGCCTCATGTTGATTTTTTTTTTAACAAAAACTTTTTTTTTTTACTCAGAGGAATACATAAACATAAAAAGAAGTTTCTTCCTTTGACATTTTATACTTTAGCAATTAAAGATAGCATACTTCTCCCTTAGAGAAGGTTTCTTTTTAACTGCTTTGTGCTTATTTTCCCAAATTTTCCTCATCTCATTTTGAGTTACACTGCAATTGCAGCTTGTCTTTAGTAGCACAACTTTTTAAACAGTTTAAAGCTGGCTTAGCTGAAGTGATTTTGATACTGGTATAGATTAGATTTTAGAGAACTAAAACTGCCAGACCTGGTTAGGTGAGCCAATTTTGAAGCCAGGTACAGAGTCTCAAGGATGAGCAAATTACATTTCTGTGTTCTGAACTTACTTTTACTGATTGTTTAGGTTACTTGGCTGAGATAACATATTAATGTTGACTGTTGCAGTGCCTTCTCTAAATAGTTGCAGAAAATGGTTGTGGAATGACAAGATACCACATGCTGAATGCACAAGCTGCTGTTTCCAAAGCTTTAGTTTACATCAGCATCCATACTTGAGGCACCAGAAATGGTTTTCATAAGCTGACTCAGAAAACACTCACGTCAAAGGAGTTTCTTAGTGTAGATGATAGAAACTATTAACTCCTTTCCTGTTCTGTTCAAATCACACTTAAGAAAGACCCATCTGTATTGCAGCTATCAGTTTCACTGTTTCCTTTTTTCCTGCTCTATTAGGATAATAGTTAGGCACACACAGGAACCTTACCCCACCATGTAGTCATGGGATGACAATCTGCACATATGTGTGCAGATTATATAAATTTGTCTTCAGTAAATGTGATTAAAGTCAAATCTCATATTGCAAATAAATGTCATATGATTTGGAAGCCATGCAAAGAGTAGGTCATGAGCTCAGTAGTCTGGTGGATAATCCATTCTGGGGAATAAAAATCTTCAGCAGAGACCAAAATGCTCAAGTTCTTTAAAAATGAGGCAAACAACTAGAGAAAGAAATTAATGATCTTCAGACTTGGAGCAAGAGAAACAGGAACAGCTCAACTTTTCGGTTCACAGACTTGGTGATTAAAGGGGCTTAGACTTCAACAATGCTAGAAGGTGAGAAAGACATAGGATGGCTGAGCCACCAAGTGGTTTTAACATTTGTTGTCATGGTTTAACCCCAGCCAGTAACTAAGCCCCACACAGCCACTTACTCACCTCCTGCCCCCAGTGGGATGGGGGAAGGGAACTGGAAAGGTAAAAGTGGGGTGTCATAAGAACAGTTTAATAATTGAAATTAAATAGTAGTAGTAGTAGTAGTAGTAGTAGTAGTAGTAGTAGTAGTAGTAGTAGTAGTAAAAAAAAATTAATGAAAAGGGAATTAACTGAGAGAGAAATAAAACCCAAGAAAGACAAGTGATGCAAATTAAAAGAATTGCTCACCACCAACAAACCAATGCCCAGCCAGTCCCTGAGCTGTGGTTCCTCACTGCCGACCTTCCCCTTAGTTTATTGCTGAGCATGATGCCATCTGGTACAGAATATTCCTTGGATCAGGTGGGGTCACTGTCCCAGCTGTGTCCCCTACCATCTCCTTGTGCACCCGCAGCCCATTTGCTGTTGGGGCAGTGTGAGGAGCAAAAAAGGCCTTGGCTCTGTGCAAGCACTGTTCAGCAATAACTAACAAATTCCCCATGTTATCAACAGTTTTCAGCACAAATTCAAACCAGAGCCCCATACCAGCAACTGTGAAGAAAATTAACTCTACCCCAGGCAAAACGAGCACACCAGTGCAAATTGCACATGAGACGTGAGGTGCCATCACCTACACTGTAGCAAGAGCAAAAGAATCACAGAATCATAGAATGATTTGGGCTGAAAGGGACCTTAAAGATCATCTAGTTCCAAACCCTCCGGCCAGGGCAGAGGCAGGGACACCTTCCACTAGACCAGGTTGCTCAGAGCCCCATTCAACCTAACATTGAACAATTCAAGGAATGGGGCATCCACAGCTTCTCTGGGCAACCTGTTCCAGTGTCCCACCACCCTCACAGTAAAGCATTTCTTCCTAATAAGGTGACCAACTTAGCAGCTTTCTGATCTCAGCCAACTCATACAAGAGGAAATTAGTGGATAAATCAATAATGAAAATGCTTTTCAGTAGGAAAGGGGACGGAAGAGAACAGGAGCTTGATGAGTTTTACACTGGACTGCAATTACTTTGCTTACAACAGCTATGTATGGGATTCAATGACAGAGCAAGTCCTAAGGGCTAACTTGTTATCCTTTAGGATTATGGAGTCTCATCCTTCTTTCACATTACATCATATCCTATTCATTAACCAATTCATTAATAAAATTACTGCAAATTTGGTCAGAATTTCTAGTATATACATGTCTATAGTAGTGTATGTACCCATTCTTTGCTCTGATTTTGAAAAGAGTTGTCATATAAGTGTTAACAAGACCAATCAGTCCAAATCAACAATATGGATTCGAGTAAGAGGATTTCAGTACACTAGCTATTGACACAATTTCTTTCTGATTTTAATTCAAGATACAGCTCAAAGGTCCACTTGTTCATTAGCACAATCAAAATTATTTCATGAGCGCATCAGTTTAGCAGATTCAACATCTCATAAATCAGGAACTCTTAAATCATTGGGAGGAAGCCATCTTCAAAGTCAAGTCACACTTCAAATCAGTTAACTGGCAAATAGTGACTTAAGTTCACGAGTTAAGCAAAGATAGGCTTACAAAATTAACAATCTCCTTGAATCTACTTACTTAAATATAACAAAACTATATGTAAATTATCAGTCACAACCATTTCTGATATATTGCCTGAGATTACTGACGATTTTTAATCAACAGATACAGAAATTAGCAGGAAAATTTTTACTTGTTAGACTGTGGCATCATTGTGCAGCATTATTATTCGGATATGATCTCCACTTTCCAGTCTCCATCAATTAGTCATACTAATTTTATTATAAATTACACAAGATTCTTCTCCCACACTGAAATACATAAAGCCAGCTATAACCCCTCCTGCAGGTCCTATGCTCATATGAACAATTATTTCTATTTGAGAAGAACTGATAACATCCCCACTTTGACAAGCATCTGCAGTGTAGCTGGCAATAACTTGTCCATTTATTAAAATTAAAATAAAACAATAAAAGCATGAGTCTCAATGAGTCAAAATGACTGAGCTATCTTAGTGACAAGTACTCTACTTCACTCTGGATGAGGTATTATGTAGCAAGTTTATATTGCTATTGCCAGTGTAACTAACTATAGTAGATAAAAATATTTGCAATCTTCAAGGTTATTAATCTGGCAGCTTTCCAACACACTACATTTCAGAAGTAGGAAATGACAGATTGTAAGCAAACAACTTCTGTCCCAACCTCCACTGGCTTGGGAGGCTCACACAGCCCTGCCAGTTCACGTTTTGTGCAACGACAAGGTCTCCCAAGTTACCAACTTGATGCAAAATTCTCTGCAGGAGAATTTTGCAAAAAAACAAGTCCTGTGGTATTGTCACTCTAGACCAAAGGGAAAGTCAATATTTATTTAACTTAAACTTAGTACTCATAACTAGACTTCCAGTCACTACATATTTCCAAATTTGAAGGTGACTGTTAAAGGTACACTACACACATAACTGTATCATCATATGCTACAAACAAATTATACCAAAACAAAAGAGAAGCTGGAAGTACATATTACACTGAAAATACAGTCAGGAGAGCCATTTGTTTGCAAAACAAGAAGCTATGAACATTGCACAAAGAGCCAGTACGTTATTTCCAGTTCTATCTGCCAAATCTTCCTGCTCCTTGGTAAGGCAAAATGGAAAGGGAAGAGTAAACAGTGGTAAACCTAAGATAAGCACAGAAATCTAACAGAATTATTCAAATTAACACACCAGTTTGTATCCAAACAAATACAATAAAAGGCACATGATGAAAACAGTCCAGTTATTGAAGACAAGATATGAATATGTGAGGGAAAACTAGCTTCCAGAGAACAGAGTAATGCAGCGGCTATTGGGTTAGCATAATGTCCTAATGTGGGTGAACTTCTTGAGGGTCCCGCTTAAAGTCCAGTGAAATCAATAAAAGACATACTGATTTCAAGTTACTATGGCTGAGACCCTAATTTCATGAGCTACATGCTACCAACTATCTTTAATCCAATTATCCACATTCAAAGTAAATCTTTGCAAAAATATTCTTCAGTGCTGATGGATATTTACCTTTCATAAAAGTGCAGAACCTTTTCCTAAAGCAATTGCAAGTGACTGGCTCCTTCCAGATGGTCTGTCTGCATCCACTTGCACTCACATTTGTCTTTTTCCAAAATACTTACCAGAACCTGTCAGCTGTGAAGGAAAATCATTTGAACACGAAAGCCAATATTTTGTCCTAATCCAACATACAGCCTAATCATAAAATAGAGTGCTTCTAAAAATCTTACATACTTTACAGTTGCTGACATCTTTAAACATTTCTTACTTTAATCTTACATATATCTAACTTTATTGAGAGACATAAAAGTTAAAAAAATATATTAAAAGGCTGCAAGTGTTGGGTTCACTTATTAAAGGAAATACATGAAGGAGGTAGAAGATTCAGAAACACCATAGATGTTCCCATTACAATAATATCTAATTGATCATACAGCTGTTGGGCAAGGTATTCAACTGCACCACAGAGTCAGGTGTTTTATTCTGCAATGGTACTACCCAAAGCTAAGAACTGGTCAATTTTGGAAAGCCAGGGAATTATACATTGATTTAATGTGGTCCAGTTTCCAGTTCCTTTACTAACTGAAAATTCCCAAACGGAAGATATTTGTTTTACAACAACCTTTAGAAGTCTCAGGTGTTAGAAATATAACCATCCACTGACACAGGAGATAAACATCTCCATGCTAAAGCATTTGTTTCCCCCCGCACCCCCCCCCCATTCTTTTTAGGCTAAACTCACTTGTACTCAGTTTAATGCCCCAAAAAAATTTCAAGGGGTCTTCAAGGGCAGCAAGCATAGTATTCAAGCGCATGGTAAAGGTGATTCTAGTAATGAAAAAAAATTAAAAGACAGCAATGAAACTGGCCACTTGCCCAGCACTGTTATTATCTAGTGCAGTGAAATCCTTATGCTTCTCATAAGCTATGCCTTGTCATCTAATACAGTGTCTGAAATGCTCTATCAAAAATACACAGCAACTCTCACCAGACAGACTTCACATCACCACATCCTGAACTGACTACTTAGAAGTATTCCCAAATGTCCAGTAAGTTTGGGTTGCACATGACTTAAAAGACTATGTTGTCTGTTGAATCATTCTTGATTACACCTGTGAGAGGATACAGTGGTCATCTCAATGAACAATGGATTTTGGCTGGTTCCTCCTATGATGATTTAAGACAAAGTGCTGCTGTACTGGTTTCTGCAGTCTACTGTACAATTGAGATTGTCAAGACAGTATAAGATGCTTAAAAATAGTACAGATTTTGGTCAAACACCAGTTTCTGAGAGACACAGATTTACAGTACTGTACTTTCAGTATTTCCAAAGATGTCTGCTCATAATATTAGAAAATCTGAAGTGTGATGATGTTAGTCATGACTGTTTCTTTAGGCATTTGGCAAAATACACTTATGTATAACAGCTATTTTTGACATTATCAAATGTTTACATATATACAATCTGTATACTGAGATTATAAACATGTAAGGTAAAAAAAAAGATATGATCCTTGTTTGTTTGACATTTGTGTCAAATAGTTGCCTTTCAAAGTTTGAAATCCTGTCACAAAAAAAATCCTATATTTCTTACTCCTGCATGCTGATCTCTACTACAGTATGTTGTTTATCCCTTACATGTGGAAAGTAAAGAACACAAGGTTCATGCATATAGCTTACAAGTTTACATCGTCTGGGCTCTCCGGGAGGCACATTCCCAGTTCCATTTTGGTCTGACTTGGGACTGCAACAAACCAGAGAAAAACCTCTCTTATGCAGGACTGGCAAATGAACTGCAGTTGGAATTCTAGGTAAGTGTATCTGTCATCATGCAGCATAGCCTTGTCACATCCGGGCTAATTATCCTCTATTAATTGTTATGATTTTGGTTGTTCATCAAATCCGTAAAATACTAGTTAACGAAAAAGAAAGGAAAAAAAAAAAGATTGTTTTTTCCCTTCCAGATGAGAGGAAGTTCTCACTGCGATCACGAGCATCTCTGTTGATCTTTCAAATTGTCTGAAGAGCAGATGAATGTGCAATGACTCAGTGATCCTGAGTTTCTATAAAATCCAAAGTAAACAGTTCTGATGTGACCCCAGGAAGACAGTGCAGCTAGATGGACGTCTCCCATAGCTGGAGAGGGGGAAAAGGAACACAAACACATTGAACACCAAGATAAAACAGGTTGTTACCCAAACAGTGCAAGGAGCTTGTTTGGGGAACTGCATTTAAATCTCTTGGGTTACCAAGGCTATGCTCTTGGTCTCCTCCCAGCCTCTGGCGGGTATCTGTTCAGACCACAAAGTCAGTGGACAGTCTCAAGCATTTCAGCATGTCTTGCAGTTGGCATAGTAAATGTCCATGGCTGGGAGTGCAAAGTGTTTGAAGGGAAAATGTCAGTGCAGCTTTGTACTAGACACCTTTTACCTTACAGTTACACTAACTAATATTAGTGTAGACATAATTTCCCATTCTTTTCTGCCTAACTCTGCTCAGAACAGCTTGACGTCCTGCTGGGGGTTTGAGATGCTGCCAAAGCAGCTCCAGGGCTGAGATACATCATAAAGCCCAGCCTCCAAGCTGTGCTGAGAGACCCTGACCTGCACCTCACATACTTTCTCTCCTGAGCAGCACTGGGGGCAGCAGTTTTTAGATTCCCTCAGCAGCACTCCACTCCTTTTTTTCTTGACAAAGAAGACAGAGAACAGTTATAAGCATCAGCAACGTGAACCAAAGATATTACAAGTAAAACTTCTAAAGCAAATTTCAGGGCTTTTTTGCTTATTCAAATACCTGCTATGTCTGAATTTGAACACAAAGGAAGCAAGGTCTAGCACTGCCTTTTGGAGCAGCTGGAAATGTCTCTACATGGAGAGATTCACCCACCACACATTCCAGCGGTTCCTGCTCAACCTGGGAGTTCAGGGTGGGCTCAGGTCACGTACCAGCGAAGTCCCTGCAGGTCTGCAAGGGCTTGGTGCAAGCCCTCCACGTGCTACATTAACAGGAACTTTGTTACTTTTCTATAAAGCTGGAAAGCAGCTATCCCCCGAGCCAGAATGAGAGTTGCTGGGAGAAGGGGAAAGGAAGGAAAAGCCAGACAGACCACTTGCTCCAGGGCTGCCTGTCCTCCACACCCCAAAGGCTGCCCCAGACATTCTCTCAGCTTGAAATAATTAAAGTAGTGAAATTTGGGCTTCAGGGCAGGTTTAAGAGCAACCTGAACAGCTCTCTGTAAACACAGCCACCGAGGCTGTCCTAATGACTGCCAGAGGCTCAGCCTTCAGTGGCTTCAGAACTTCAAGGGCAAATGAAATGCCACTTCTGCTCTCACTGCTAGTCACAGGTGTTGATCTGCTCACTTTCCTTTAAAAAACTACCAGTAAATCAAGTCACTGATGAAATGGAGAGAGAAGAGGGATACATACCCTGGCACTTTGCCTGTTGGCTTTTTTCTCTTCATCAGGAAGTGGTGGCATCGGATAAGGGTATTTTCTGCTGGAAGCAATAGATCCAGTGGATGAAGATGGAGACTTTGCAGGAGACAGTGTCCTGAGATGTTGAAACACACAAAATAAATGTGATGCTTTTGCACTTGAGCACTGCAACAGCAACTGCCATTACTCTGAAGCTTGGTTCAGAACCAAGTATTCAGCTTATTATTGTCTCAGTCAGAGGGATAAAACTGCTTGATTAGAAGTCTACTAATTTTATTATATGAATAAAGGTATTTATAGATTTCAGGAGCACTGGAAGAAAAAATAAAATCTGCTAACTCTTATTAGAATTGTATTGCATAACAAAAAGGATTTCTTAAACTGTTTTATACAGTACTGTAATTATTCATTATAAAATTAATAAAACAAATCTGCAATTGAATAAATACAGAACTAAAATATAAACATGGCATTATACGGGCTAAATAGAAACAGTAATTGTATAAATAAAATCTGAACATCTTCTGCCAGTGACTAAATGGTAATTATCAGCATCTTTATAGATGTATTACACATCTCCTATATTGATACAAACATAGCAAATCTATTATTTTTATAACACATTAAATTACACAAATGCATGCATTTAGAGGCCAAACTGTTAGTTGTGAAGTAACAAAGGCATATACAAAGTGCTAATAACAAATTATTATACATGCAAGCATCATACAGTGCATATTGTTCCAGCCAAAGAAAGAGTCTGATGAGAATATACAAAAATGGACTGATTAGTCAATGGCAATCAGCATTTCTGTACAAGGTGAGTAGAGTAAGCAGGAGCAAGTAAATGTTTGTATCACATGAAAGGCATTCTTTTCATGTCAATAAGGCAGCAGCACATTATTGACTGAAATTTTATACCCAAGAAAAACTCTTATGCTTCTGTTTTGAGATTCTGCACTTTTCCCACTTATGAGGGTCCTATCTAAATGAGAGGCTCTAAATCTAGGCAGAATAAAAGAGAAAAAAAATCCTCAAAGTCAAAAAATTGAGCTACCTTGGCCTCCTTGTTCTCTTATGCAGATCAAGGGAGGCCACACGCTAGTGCAGGCACATCATCCAGACCCTCCCTGAACACCACTACCTACTATCTCCTGAGTTTAATGCATCCCTGATGATGGCAGGTTTCCCTCAGTCCCTATAGACAGGTCTTCCAAGCCCCTCTAATGTAGAAAGGGGTTGTAGTGTGCTGTGCAGCTCTAGAACCCAGTGATGAGCACTGTTGCCAACATCACTGATTCCAAGGAACTAGAGGAGCAACCCCTGGCAGACAGCCCCATATGCCTGGCTCTGGGATGTAAAGGATCAGGTCCTTTCATCTAGAGAGGACTACAGACAAGGCAGGGACTCTTTCATGTTTGGAATTGTTTTGTATCTCTAAGTGAAATTTATTTACTTTTAAATACTTGTATTTTTTATTCTGGACTAGTGTATCATTTGGTTGTGTCTGCAGCTCCCTACAACAGCACACTCTCTTGCCTCCCATACAAACAATGACTGATGGTAGCCACGAGCAACAAGGTGTCAATGGAAATTAAATGGTGAGAGCTCTCCAATCTGGCTCATGATCCTCTAATGACTCCTGTGGTAGCCTCTAAGTTCAACAGCACTTAAAAGATTTGGGTTGGTACAATTACCCAAACATGGAAGTGTATACATCTTCAGTACATGCACTTTGATCACCCATTAAGATGAAGTGGACATATGTTCATTTTTTTTTTCAGGAAAAAAAACTTGAAACAGTTACTGCAGCATAAAACAAGGTTTTCATATGTCCAGCATCACAGATCTGGGCACCAAACTGTGCATGCAATAAAACAGGTTAATTTAAATTAAAAAAAAAAAAAAAATCCAGGGAAACATTCTCAACAGTGCCCTGCTGTTCACTACCCATACAAGTCCTCTCACCTCTGTTCACATTTGGATTAATAACAATCGTTGATAAACTATTGATGGATATAGAATTTAAAAATTAAGGAGAAGAGGAAGCGGGAGGGGGATAAGGAGGGCAGATTTTATGTCTTATTAGTAATCCAATTATTCACAGCTGCAGTAGAATTTAAAATTTTCATATTCAAATTTATAACAATGCACTTGGAGATTAGAAACAAGGAACTGGTGTTGTGAGATGTGACTTGGCAAGCCCTACCAGAAAGCTTTTTATAATGGTACCACAGACAGGAGGTAGCACAAAGAATGAAGGAATCTCCATCTCTTGGACCACAATCAGGCACAAAATCACCTTCTGCATGCCACAGGTTCTTTGTGTTTTAAACACAGTAATAGAAGGCCACAGTGAGAGGAAAAGCCATGGACAATCTACCTGTCCATCAGTCTGAGCAGGTGATCCTGGAAGGAGCAATAATCCCCCAAAGATGGGGCATCTTGAACATTTTTCTTTGCACAAACAGGCCCTCTGACCAGGATCTCTAACTGAGCCTTTAGCCAGGCAGCTTTGCACCATAACCCAAACACAACGCTGTCTTTTCAAAAGATTGTGAAGGCCAGACCTCCAGTGTGCCTTCCTACATATCCTTCTTCTCAAACACCCCTGGCACTGCCTGCTCAGCTGTGGTTTGCCATGTGTAACTGATGTGCACTTTGCTGTTCACCTGCACCTACAAAGCTACAGCCGAATACACCCAGAATGCAGTTGCACACTTACAGAAGTGACTTTGTCCTCCCTTCACAGGGCCTCACCACTTATTTTTGCTATTGTTATGTGCTACAGTTACTTTGTCATCTTTAGTGCCCTCTACTGTGAACATAAAAGACCCAAGAGTATGTTCACAGATCTTACAGTGTGATAAACACAGTTGTTTCAGGTGGTTTTGATCACCTTTCAGGTTAAGCCCTGCAATTGTGTATGTGCTGTGTATCCCAGATTTACATATACTTTAAATGAGAAAGAGCCAGTCATGACCTTTCTCATTTACAGGATGGAGAGACAGCATTCAGGGACACTTGCAGGTAATGCTGGGTTTAAAGGTAGGCAAAACTTGGCAGTTTTGGTCAAGGGTGGGATCCATTTAGCTTTCCCTAGGGTTTTAGTTCTCCTGCAATCAAATCCATTAGCTTTCATGCCAAATATTGCCTCCAGCTAAAACTTATACAAGAAATCAGTACACACCACAACAGAGACTCAAAGGTTTTACTGCCACCCCCAAATGAAGCCATGCACCTCAACGTGCTACAAAACAAATCTAATTTCTGAACAGAAAGCAAGATGCAGTAGCCACTTTGTGTCTGTCTTTCTGTCTTGGAAGTTGAAACTAAGAGTGTGGGGAGACCACTCTGTGATTCACAACAAAACACTGTGGCAGCAGAAAGACATCCTGCAGCCGTAGGCTGCCTACTCTGCCTCTCTTCACCTAAACAGGGAATGTTGGCCCACAAGAAACAGTGTGAAATGTGTCACCTAATCACACAACTAAACATTTTGCAATTTTGAGTGATGTTATAGCTGAACTCAAGGCAGGTGGCCCTGACAGATACAAAATGTTCATAAACTGCAATTGATTCTCTTTCACAGACTGAAATACTTTAGTGAAATTCAATTAATATTCAACCTGGTGAAAGCATTTCAAGCCCAAATATAGATCCTATCAGCCTAACCTGACCTTTGCTGTCATGGGTTCAGCTCTTTGTAGGACATCAGCCTTAATTATCCTACATTGGGAAGTTAGGATCTTCTAGAAACACTGGTGTGACTAAATGTTTTAAATTAAGTTCCTTTTAAAAGCCACAGATGTGCACAGAGTTCCTCAGAAAGAGCAGAGCAGAGGGAGAGAAGGCTCAGGGGTGGCAGAAGAAGAAACAACAGCTATGGCTTGAGCCGTCACCTTGAGCACTGCACATCAATGCCCCAGAAGCAGACATTCACATGCTTTAATGAACTCTTCTCCCTAACTTTTGAAATGAAATCTGGATCCTAACTGACATCAGCAGGCACTTTTTCACTGTCTGCCAACAAAGCCATTTTGCTTTGGTTGTAATAGGGAAAAGTTTTGTGGGTTTTTTTTTTTCTTTAAGCAGAGTCTAGAGCTGCCTCAGCAAGAGAAGGGCAGATAGGTGCTGGTCACAGCTCTGGCCTCAGCTGGATGCTCACAGAGGAAGGCAACGGAGCTGAGGAGGAGCTGAGAAAAAATCAAGGACACAAAAGCACATTAAAATAGGAGGGAAACAGCAGCCTGCTGTCTCCTGCCTTCCATGCCGCTTCTCAGTGCCCTTCCGAGTCTCGATATCTAAAAACCAAATCACTTTCTTGTAAACTAATTTTATATTTAAGCAACCCTAATAAAATATAAGTTACTGTAAATATTTGCATTAAACCAAATCTAAGTAGCTCAGTGCTTCAGAAGGTGCCTTCTTTTTTGTTTATAATTATCTGCAGAAATGCCACATTTGGAGATTCTGGCAGTTTGTTTTCTCATACCATCATGGCTCCCAAGTCTTTCAAGATTCAATGAGAATTTTGAGTAATCCTTAACCACATTTCACAAGGCCAGCCTGTGCAGTGGCCACTGTAATTGTCAGTAACAGGAATAAGCACTAGTAGCACATTCATAAAATAACATCCCTTGCAGCAAAGCCAAAATTGAGGAAAGGCTTCCTGCCTGTGTTTGTTGCTGGGGTTACAAGCCTATAGCCTGGCAAGAGCATTTCTCAGATCATAGTGTGGCCTGGTGTGAGGATGGGGGATGCACCACCACACATGCAAAATTAAGGCCCAGACTAGTCTTTGAGCAGGAAAATGAGATTTTTCTTCACAGATCTTATTTTCTTACAGATAGGAATCCCACACCTGGGAGCTTTCTGGCATCAGAGACACCATCTACTATTATTACTATCATTAATAAAAAGTAATTATATAGAAATACCCATCAGACTTGTAGACTAGGAAAAAAACCCTAGGGCATCAGATATTATAAAGAAAAATTCTGATTTATAAAGGTTTTTTTAAGCAGATGCAGAAAATCTTTCTAATGACTAATATCTATATTTCCTGAAAATCTGCAACATTTCTAGGAATTGTAAGAATTGTTTTTGTCTTTTCTCATTCTACTTCAACTCGTCCTACAGCAGCACCAGTCATAACATATTATTCCAAAAACTATAGGAAAACAAGCAAACCAGCAATGTTACTTTGAGAACTCCTTTGAAAGAACAGAGAAATCAAAGACAATTAAAAAAAATATTACTCAGCCAATCACCTGGTGTAAATGTCTTATTATGGGGCTGTGACTCCTAAAATATGGAGCTGAACAGTCTGACTTTAGCCTGACGTTCTGGTTTATCAAGCAAGATTTTTGTTTTGTTTGTTTGCACATGACTATACAGGCTCAGGCTCAAAACACAGCCACAGGATGTTCTGACCCACCATTCTTAGGACGTCTTTTCCTGTCAGTGCTATGATTAAGCAAAATTGCACCTGAGTTTTAGGGAGAAAAAGTTCAGTTCAACCTCTCATAAACCCATGTCCTCAGGACAGCTGATCCTTTGCCTTCCATAATGTGCCCACAAAATACTTCCCCATGATTTCCTCACTAAATTAGGACATACAGGTTTCTAAATTTATTCTAGTTGCTTCAGTTGCTTTCTCATTTCTAAAGCTAACTGCTACAGGGTGTGATTAGTAAGCTTCTATGATGTAAAATTTTTAATTTATGTTTCATCTCTGCTGATATACAGACTTTAAAACTCACATAGGTCAGCTTAATCCTCATCTACATGCCAAAGATGCTTGGTTTATCTCGGATACAATTAGAAACGTGACTCATTTAGTGTAACAGCTAAAGACCCTCAGGGACAGGGTATATTCTCATCAATTTAATCTAGTTACTAAATCGTGATATACTGATATTGAAAGATGAAAATTATAAGTGTGCACACAAGATTTTAAGCCTGTTTAACTAAACTATTTAAAGTAACCTATTTTCAACTAGTGCTATCTTCATATTCTATCAATGTCTTTGCTTTGCTTATTGTGACCACAGGGCATCTGATACAAAAACCCTAAAAGATAAATATGGGATTACATTATGGTGGGCAACTCTTGACTTTGCCTGAACAATAAAGGTCACAAGGGTATTTTTATGAAAAGGTTTGCTAATAAAATCAGATCTCATTTCTCATGTAAGTTTGCCTAATTTCACCTTCCAGTGACCTTTGGTCAGTTTGCTAATCTAAAGGACCTACCACAAAGATTTTGCTCCTTATGAAGTTTTGAGGACTTCATGATAAAGTAAATGTTCAGTTGCTCCACTAAACTAAACAGCTTGAGGCCCTGCAGTCCTTTCTATGGTTTCTCTGGGCTCAAACCTCCCCAGTCCTAGAACACGCTTGATGAACTATAGACACCAGCACCTGACCCTGTATCTCTGCTAAAATGACCAGACTCACAATACTTCCTGCCTGAATGCCCAAGCACCAACACAGAGACGTGGCTGATACCGATGGGCACAATCACAACCTCCCATAAGCCTTGGGTTCTTGCATCAGGGATCTTTACTCCCCGTTCAGGACCCAGATCAGGACTGAGAGGCTTGAGTCCACTCATTTTCCCTATTCACTGGAAAGCTTTTCTGCAGCTTACTCTGTGATTTACAAGGTGTTGAAAGCAAACACAAATGGTTTTAAAAAGTAACCATTTTATGGTCTTTTAAGAGTTTGGAACATTTTTAGTTCTAAAAATTACTAAATTCCTACCCTGACGTTTGATGTCTGCCACTGTTACTAATGGAAAAAGAGTTTCATTAGTATCTTGTGATACAACTCCATGACATTTTTTTCCCAAATGCACACTGGAAATATTTAGTTTCTGCCCTTTTTATTATTATTACGTCTACTTGTGTAGCAAAATTATTAAGATTCTATTTACTTGTTCTTACCATCCTTCAATGTTTTGGCTACAGATTTTGCTTGTTACTCTCCTTTCTTTGTGTTTCTAGAATTCTTTCAGCTTCATCTTTGATATGTCAGCTTAGAGCTTCCTGGATTTCATTCATGTTTTATGTTATTTGTCTTAAACTGCCTTCCATTCTCTCCTAAGTTATCTGATCTTTTCAGCTGATGCAGAGATCTTTCATTCTGTCTAGGCTGTGGGACAGTATCTTTTGGGTATCTACTGCAATGTTCTCAGTCTCCAGATTTGTGTCCAACAGGGAGGCCAGACTCATGCATGCTTCTTCTCTTTAACTTGCAATGTATAAAATAATACACACTTTTCCCTTTCAAAACCAAGTGATATTTTTGACTGAACCCTACCTCACTTGTAACAGATTCATTAGTGGTTTGATAATTAGAGCACAGAGTATATTCTCATACATTTAGCTTTCCAATTACAATATGTAAATCATTTCACTGAAGGCTGAGAGTAAAATACTACTACTTTTTATTCTTTTTTTTCATTTAAATTTTGGTATGCACTATATAAGACAGTGGGTAGAGTCAATGTGTTATGAAACCACTTGCTTCAGTAAATTAACATTCTATTTAAGTTAATACTACTTTATTAGTGATAAATATGTCTCATGCCCATAAAACACTACTTGGCATAAAATGATGCAAAAGCTACTACAAGCTATAGATGATGGTGGGAACGCATGCACTACACACACCCTTTTCAATGGCTTCATTAAAACATTCAGAAAAAGAACTGTAAATTGCACATGAAGCCAAAAACAGACATCAAAATGCAGCAAAAGAAGAGGGGCCCTTTGCACCTACAGTAACTTGTATTGATTTATACAAGGTAGGAGTCCCAAGATATTTGTATATGCTGGAACAGCTCTTAAAAATGAGAATTATAGAATTAATTTACAAAATACCTAAAGTATGGTCCTTCAGTGTTTTTATTCACATCTTCTACCCACTTAGCTACATTATATTCTCTTTTGAACCATGGGTTTAAATACCTGCAGAAAGCAATGGAAGGAACAGAGAAAGCAGAAGAACAAGAATAGAAAATCTGAGAACACACAGCACAAGCTTAGCAAGGATGTCTTCATCCCCAAAATGCAAGTGAATATGGCAAATAAATCAGAATGGATGTTGGGTGAGGACTAGGCAACGTGTACAACTGCATGAGAAAATCTGGCCTACAACAAGATTCATATGTTTGATTAATCTGGAAACTCTTTGGGATACACCATTCACTTAAGGGTAAAATTCACTCCTATGCAGAAGGCCAGCATTAAGCTCATGGTTTAACTCCCCTCATGATCTCAGAATAAGGATGAAGGGGCATTTTGGCTCCGAATATGCAGTTTGCTTGTTAAAGACACACTTTTGCACCCATCTAAAATAAATTGCAAGATAATTGCTAAATGAGCACAGAATCTTTGGCTTGACCCTTTCTACAGGAATGAATTTCAGCCTCAGTTTGTTAAAAGGCTTGAATTGCCACTACAGTGGCAATTTTTACACTTTTATGCAAACAACCCCCTGATTTTTCCGTGTTCATTTAATTTGGTAGGATCACAAGAAGCTTAAATGGAGGTGGGCTGCAGAGTTATCTCACATTTTACAGAAGCAATCTTGACACCAAAACCACACTTTATAGGAAAAAAAGTCTGAGCTGCATACTCATAATAGGTACACGAAAATTATGAAATAAAGATGATGTGTAATTATCTGACAGTAAATTACTAGGGAAGAAGAAAATTTTTTTTGTAATAAATTTTCTCCAGTAACAAGATTAGCAAATTCCTCCCCCTCTGTCATGTTAAGAAAAAAGGGTGATGCAGAAACAGAAGTCTGCATCCAATTTATTCTTGTTATATACAAACGTCAACAGTTAAATGATTATTTGTGATCACCACCTTTATATAACAGAGACTAGCACAGTGAAATAGGAAACAAATTGTAACCAGAGAAAAAGGGAAAGAAAATTCTTCTTTAAGTTATTGTTGCTATTTCTGGTCCAGTTCTTGTCACCCTTATTTGTGAGATTCACTCCAATGACCTCCCACATGAGAACAGGCCTCACAAGGGATTGCTCAGATGAATAAAATTGGGCCAAATCATGTCGTTCAACCCCCACCATATTTCAAACCATGTTGACAACAAAAGCAGCAGCACTTTTTCAACTTCTTTTGCTCCTTTTTTGCTCTGGAACATCTCCTCCCCGCCCTGCGCAAGCACAGCCACAGCTCTCAGAAAGTACTCGCCCTCAGCCACAAGTGCTTCTAAGTAGCTTCCTCAGCTCGCTTATTTATCAGGAATAGGGAGTGCTTTATGCTTTCCAGCTTGGGATCTTAAGAGAAAGGAAATGTCAAAAGTGATAGTGCAGCAAAACAGACGAGCCACAATTGAAGTAACAGGGCAAGGCCAGCATCACCAGGAACTAACGAACTTCTGCTTTGACTTTAATTGCACATTTTCTTGTACTCGCTGCAATACTTTTGACTTGAAGTTTTTCATTTGAAAGGGTCTTTTGGTAACCATGAAACACTCCCAATCTGGCTTCCTGTATTAAAAAATAAAGTGTAATGTGGTATCAAAGCATGCAATTGTTGCACAACCATGTTGCAGGGTTTCCTGGGTCTGGGAGTATTACAGACCGCCATTCACCACCTCAATCCATCTGTTACAGAAAGGTTAAACTCGAGTTACTGCAGACCACTACACGATACCATCAGAAAGCTCTCAGGCTGATCTTTCCAGCCACGTGTTCATTAGCAATGGCCAGAATCTGCATTTCCCTTCAGTGAGAAATTCTGCTTTAAAATAAAGTGTCCTTACACGTAAGCCTACAGCTAGACCGACAGCTCAGTTTGGCTTGTAGCGCAACATGCAACAAGGCAAAAGACCTGGGCTCAAGAGTATTTGTACTCCTCAGGCCGGTGAGGAGGAAGGTTAGCTAGCACTGCATCAGCAGGAGCACCTCCAAGCAGTCACGGTGTTTTGCCACAGTGAAACTATTGTATACTGAGGGAAAGGACTTTTCACGGGGTAAAATGGCAGCCCAGAATGCAGGGGCAGGTGAGACTGACCTGTGATCCAGACTCCCTGTTTGGGGGTGGTCAGAACCCCCTGAGCTTATGCCTTGGGCAGGGGTTTGGTGGGCGAGAGAAAGCCCAGGCTCAGATGCATGGGTTACCCGGCTGCAAAAAGACAATATATAATAGAAAGTCTAAACCAAAGATGTTTGTATCAGTTACAACAACGAGGAAGACAAATGCTTATAGGAAAAGCCGTGCAAATTAACAAAGGTCTGAATCGCTATCTGTTTCCTGGAACCTGTTTTAACACAAGCTCCCAATTAAACTATCAACTTATTCAGAAAACTCTCATTATCATTCCTGAACAATTCTAATTGATTTCAATAGAGAACTCTTTACCAAGCTATTTCATCAACCATGTTTCTGAAAAAGCATTTAGCCTGTTGGCATTCCTCCTGTGTGTAATGAACTATCTGCCTTTAGTAAAGAACATTAATTTTGTTTTAAAACATCTAGAAACAATTAAAAATGCCCCAAAATACCTTTAGTAGTCTCCACTGAGCTCTACACTTAGCATAAGCCTTGTTCATGTATGTTTGGTCCCAGGGTCATGCAAAGTTGTGAGCTGTACTTTTTTCAGGAGCTGCCCAAAATGCTTGCAAACCTCCCACCAGTGCTGCTTGTGAGGGCTGCAGACCTCAAATCTTTCTCAATGCTTAAGAAATTTTGCTTCTGTGATTAATGGCACAAGTCTCTTTGATGCTTGGCTGCATACAAAAACCCCCCTGTGCATAATATGTGCAGTTACTGCAGACTTATGCATATATCAAATATTTTTGCAGGCAACTGCACTAGTGTGCACCTGCTAAAAAAAGAAATTGAATTCTGCACAAGGTATGGCACAAATGAATACATTTTTTTAGTGGTTAACTACACTCTACTAATAACAGGAGACCAACAATGTTATGCCTTTTCTTACATTCAGCAAGTATGCTTCATTAGACTTCTAGGGGCCCCACTGCTGGACTTTCCAAATACTGCTTCAGAACAAATTTCAATATTATTCTGTATTTCCCAGAGAAGGTAGGAAGGTACATATGTCTGGGAAAAGCTTCCATGTATTCTGAGCCATCCTCAAAGCAGCTGGCATTGCTTTTTTTTTTTTTTCCTTAAATGAGTAAATGCTGGCCACAGTTAGATCATTCTCAGTCAATTTTCTTTGCTTGCAAAGGAAGCTATCCCTCTAACCAGAGCCACCATGTGCCCTTGACAACTCTCTCCATTTCTTACTGAACTGGCACAGCATGTGGATCATTCAGTGGGAGCTCTCTCTCCAAGTGGTGACAGGTCAGCCAAGGAGACTCAGACAAGCCATGTGAGTGCAGTCCAGGATAGACCCCATCAGAACAAAGGGTGTTTTCCTGCCTGGCAGGTCTCTCCCAGGAACACACACACTGTGCTTCATCCCCAGCAGGCTGCTGCATGGCCATTGGGAAGTACAAGCCTCCTCTCTCTAGCACAAGGGCTGCTGCTGGGCTGAGGGACCGTAACCAGCATCAAGAAAGAAAGCAGAGAATTAGGTGGAAAATTAAGGGCACCTTTAAAAGAGGAAAAAAATTTACAGGGAAAAATACTTCCAACTCACAATATCTTGTCTGCCCACTTATTTAGTGCTCCAGAGTTCTCAGAGCATATCTCATTTGTGTTCTTGGCAGTTTGGTCAGACTAATTTTGATTTCATCAAACTGTCTCATGCAAGGAGAAGAGAAAACGAGCAAAATAATATCTCAGTAAGAGTTTATCAGCACAAAGACCAAGAGCACAGAGAGTCTTGATAGATAAACTCCTCCAAGGGCTAAAATTTCTGGTTTTGTGTTGCCATTTTCACCATGCAATGTTATAACTGCAATATGCATCAAAGTATTATTTCTGTATCTTGTAACACACGGTCTTCTCTACGAACCTTTCTGAGCCTACTCACCTCAAGACAGTGCACTGCAGGTGAAAGAAAAGTTTCATAACAAACTCAAACTCCCCAAACCAAAGAAAGCGGGGCTCAGAGAGAAGTTAGCATGATTAGTTTCCAGCAGGGTTGGTATCAAGCCCATTTGCCCACAGAGGTGCAAAGTTAGTACTCAAGGTATGGGAAAGGGCAGTGTCATTGCCACCATGGTCAAAGAAGGGGCCATTCCTGTGTGGCATAAATGCCATAAGAGCAGGTCAGTACTTGACAAGCCCAGAGATAATGTTTCCAGCCATTCACCATTCATTCACAAAAGGGGCCTGAACCAGCAGGCTTAAGTACATTAGAAAGGCTCTTTCCCTTTGGGGAGCACTGCACACATGGGCTCTTCAGTAAATGTAACCAGTAAATCAATAAGCAAGCAGCTCTAAGCCATACTGGAAAAGCTTGGGGGTCAGTCACTTGGTAAGGACTTCAATTACCCACTTATTGCAGGGCTTACTCAAGACTGACTGTTTCAGGCTTACAACGACAAACTTCAAGGTACTCTCAAAGAAGACAGATGCCTCTCCTAAAACCTCCAGGAAGGTACACAGAGATACACATCTCTAACTCTGCAATGGCCCAACCCAAGGTGTAGAAAAGGGTAGGAAACAGGTTATCAGAAACTCAGTATTGAACCAGGATACACTCAGCAATGGCAGTTTACTGTAGACAGAAGCCTGCAGTGATGGTGCGGGCTGCCACCATCACTGGGAATTGCTATAGGAATGACTGTGAGGAAGCCTACATAAAAAAGAAAATTCATAGTTAATTTTTAAAGAATAAATAAAAAGATGTCAAAATACATTAGCCGAACCATTTACCAGATTATCAGTCAGCAATCAGAATGGGCCACAGAGCAAAAATGCAGCTGTCTACTTTTCAGTACTCTTAATCTCCATCTACAAAACACAAATATGAAAACTGTACTTTTTGGCTTTGCTTTTGTAAGTTCAGACTTACTCAGTTGAATTAGACCGTGGCCTAAATCTTTTGCCTCTGACTTTCTTTCTGTTTCCTCCTATATTACCTGAAAGAAATCAAAGGATAAAGACAGAGAGTAAAACAACTTGAAACTCACTGTATATTCTTTTTGCATCCATAGCAAAAGAGTTGTTACCTCAGTATCTTTAACCATTTAAATGTCACAGCTCAGTCCCTCTTGATTTACCTCAGACTCTTAGGTGAGCTTTCTCTACTTTTTGTTGCAAATGTGCAGACCAAAAAATTCCTTAATTTCAGCTTTCATTTGACAAAATCACTACACTTCAAGAAAAACACTAAAGACTGCCTGATAAAATCACAGAAGCTGGCAAGACTGAATAGACTTCTTTTTCATGTTAGCTCATACTGGAGGAATGGGAGAAATTAAATGTCATTTCTATGTGACAAAGCACTGTGCAAAAAAAAAAAGGCACTTGTGTAGGGTGCTGTTAAATCCTAATTCCAGGTTAATAACAATCAGCACAATTTTAAGGAGTTATGCTGCTGTCTCATGATCAGCTAAACTTCCAGCAGAGCAGCAATAGGCTGGTTTCCACTGTGGCCAGCACAGTGGTTCACACTTACCTTGCCAAGAATTACTCCTAGGCCTCCCATTTTCACAAATGTCTGAAATATGTTTTGTGTCTGGGATCCTTTCACTCCAGGAATGAGATAATCCATTTGACCTGGAATAGGAGGGCTCAGATGCGGTTATTGTTAAGGGTATTGTCTCACATCATGTTAACTCAGCGGTTCAGTCACATTCCCGAGGCCAGTGACAAAACACAGCCTAAGGTCTGTCTGCACTAGCAGAGCCTCCAGGATTTCTGATTAAACCCTGCAGTTACGCTTTGCAGTTGTCTCTGCAGTGGTTCTGTGTGTCCACGTTCAAGAGCCAGGCTTTCAGCAGTGCTTTCTCACTTGTTGTCTGTGGAATGCACAAACACCAGCACACACCAAATTTCCCTTGGATCTGCAGCTCTGCCCCAGCTCCTAGATGGAAGATGCTCTTCCAACTGTGTTTATCTCAAGGTTTTTTTATCTTGCAGTCAAGTATATTCCACTTGACAGCTGCCTACTCCCTCCTTGTGCTGCTGCAGGAAAGCTTGGACAGCTTACCTCACCCCACTGCTACCAGTCTTGGGGGCTCAGGAGTCTGTGATAAGTATCCTCCCACACAGAGCTGGTAGTGCCAGGGGAGAGGTAACTTTGCCTCATTTTGGATAATTTTTAATTTTTACAATATTTTATTAGTCAATTACTGCAGTGTATACTTCTAATGCTAAACTCAAAGCCAAAAACAGTCTTAATATCGAGGTGCTCGGTGCAAACTGAAGTTTTTCTTTCCTCTTGTATTCCCTCTAAGAGCCAGAGATGTGTGTTGGCGATGTCCAACCTGTGCGGTTTTGCAATAGGTTCCCTCTTGTTGAACTAGAGCTGCTGCTCAGCTGTTTGCCATGAGATCTACAATTATTTCCAAAAGAGAAGAGGAAGTTGAAAAATTCACAATAGATGGCTTACTTATTACAAAGAAGTTTTGCTTAAGGGAACTATTTCTGTAGTTTTAAGTCTGGATACTCTTGCATTTTTCAGTCACTGTTTTCCTTGGAGGGCAGGCATCTGAGAGATGCTCATCAGTTTCCAAAAAAACAGACTAATCACAGCCACAGTGAAGTACACTCAGGGTTTCATTAATTGAAACTTAATTACAGTATGAAAAGTCTGAGAACCAACAGATCCACTGACAGATTTTTAAACATTTTCTCCCCCTCACAGTCTATTTTCAGGTTCAGGAATATCTTGCTATATACTGCTTTTGGTGTTTGCTATTTCCTAACAGCAAGAGTTATCATAAAGTTATGTCTTAATCCTTGAAAACCCTCTGAATACAAATAATATTTCATAATGCTTTCCAGCATGGAGAAGCCCAGGCAGCTAACGGTCCAGCCACTCTAACATCTCCCAGGAGATGCCATCCATACCGGCACACAGAGCAAATCAAAACCAGCTCAGAAGGTAGGAAATAGCACTCTGGGCATTAAAATGGAAGGACTATGTCAGCTGTATCACAATGTCAATGGAATATTTGTCAGACTTACTTTTCCAGACTTGACAGTGGCACAACATACCTGAACTGGTGGTGGGGAACAACAAAACTCTCTAGTACAGACAGACCTTAGAATCCATTGGCTTTTGGAACAAATAATAAACAGAGACATATGACATAAATGAAGAATGAAAAGAAACACAGATATTGAATGAAAGAAGAAACACATTACATTACATTCATTTAAAAAGAAATTTTTTTCTTAACTAGTATTTGAACCTGATACACAAAACTATGAAAACTTGCTTTCCCAAGACTTTCTTCAAAATTTTATCCAAATGAAAAAAAATTCTCCAACGCAAACAGAGATTCATTTAAGATTAATGTTTGTTTCCTGAAAAAAACAATAATGTATCACCCACACATCTAAAAACTGAATTTAAGAATTAGAAATCATTAATTAATCACTACTAGAGTTTTCCTAATAACATATTCATTAGAACAAACTGAATGAAGTTGCAATAGGATCAAGTGGCTATGCCAAAACAGCAAATACATTCCTTCCATACATTCCTCTTTACTTTCATTGAAATAACAGCAAAGAAAACAGCTTCATCAACTGCACAGTTATAGGCTGCTTAGTGAGACAAAAATTGAGAATTGCAGTTTTCCTATGAAGCAGTTCAGGACTGTCAATTCCTCCTAGGACACAGTGCTTCTCACAAATTGTTTTACAGCGTTACCTGGAGATTTTCATAATTACAGGATCTCTAACTGCAGAGGGGCGGGGAGCATCATGACCTTAGCTATGACTCTCAATGCTTTTCAATGAATTTTCCATTTTAAAACTTTGGGAGTTTTAAGTAACTGTAACAATAACGGAATTAGTGAAATCAGATCAAGGACAAAATCTGATTCTCTCGTGATAACAAACCGAAAACTACAGAAAGTCTTTGTAGAATTATTTTCTAAAATAACATTTGGTGACTTAGTCTACTAAGTGGAATAAAATGCAAGCACTATCAACTTTAATAAGAGACAGCAGAAGTCTACGTCAACACAGTGAATTAATGACACTGACAAATAAAGATTATAAAAATAACATTTATATTTAACATTTTATGTTTATAACCATTATTGAAGCAAGACAATGTTCCTTTCCTTTGATTACATGACCATGAGTAAAAAAGTTGTGGATTTTTTATTTAATTTTTTTTTTCAGCCAGCAATTAGTTTTACAGTCTGGTTGAAAATAATTCTCAAGGTAGGAAGATGATGAAAATTTGATTAAACAAAAATTTGTTCACAGTGCAAAATTTTTTTATTCTGGCCTAATCATAATAATTAGTAGCTCAGGAGATCAGAGAAAAAATCAGTAATCAAAGCAAAAAGGATGCTATTTCAAACACTCCACAAAGAAAGAAGAAAGAATCAAACCTGCTGCAAAACAATGAAATGTTCTGACTAATGGAATAATGGGTGATGGAACAGGTAGAAATCTGAAAATGCGACAGAAAAGCAGACCTCTTCTTAGAACTAGATGCAGAGTTTGTGCTGACTCCAGGAGGCATGTCGCTATAAAAAGAGTCGGCCTCTCCCGGCTTTTTTACATAATCTCCCTGGGGTATTTGTCTAAAGTATAATAAATATTGTAGAGTCAGAAAACATGACAGGAACTGGCACACACACAAACATGCATGAATATTAGTTTAAAAGAAAGAGGTAAGGATAGCAATCTTTGAGGAAACCCATTAACCACACACAATAAGGCTACTAATACATAATACAACCATCTGAGAGAAAACTCCCACGCGCTTCTGTTAAGTGCAGAAAAGTGGATTATGTGGTTTTGATAAGGGAAAACAAGGAGCATTTCACAGGTAATCCCTGATCACAACTTTCAAAGTGAACAGTTTGTGTTTCTTGAGACACTGGATAACCAGTTCAGACATTTCAAATGGCTCATCATGCTGGTTGCAAAAACCACTCCCAGATGCAGCACCAGTACTGAGCCTGAGCTGACTACATGCCTGCATCAAAAAGGAATTCAAGATAAGCAAATGTTTTTTCCTTCTCAGGTAGACACTTTCCATTTAACTTTTGTGATGATTATTGATCTCAAGAATAGCAACCTGTTGAGTTGTTTAAACCTCAGGAGGATAAAAACCTCCAGTTTTTTTAACTGATTTCTTGTGCAGGGGAACTAACACCAGAGATTCTCACCTACTCCTGATTACCACAGTAGACTCAATCTGCCAAGACACACAAAAATAATGTCACACCTATCTGATAACAGGCTATTCTTTTCCAGTATGAGAGGCTTAGTTATGGTGTATAAAACTATCTATGCATTAGAAAGTTCTAATCAAGTTATGCAACATTTCTGTAGCTGGTGAATTCATCGCCAGCTGAAAAAACCTGCCATATAAATATTCCAGTTATAGTTCCATTAGGCTGAAAAATCCTCCCAAGTACAAGTAGCTACTCTGAAAGTTGGCTATTTCATAGTATCATCAACTTAAGCATCTATTCAGCCTTGCACTCTCCAAGGCTGTTTTGTTTCAGTCTGCCCCTATTAGGATGCACATTTATTGGGTTGATTCACATTCAGATTGTATCCAACTACAGACCTGAACTGTGATCTCTTCATTCCATATCTGAATTTCTAATGCTCCTAAAATATTTCAAGTATATAACTACATGGCACATAAATCATTAGTATAATGCAGTACTTCCACACTCCATCTTCTAACACCTTTCAAGTTTCATTTCTCATCCCATTCTTCAGCTGGTATATGCATGTGTTTAGAGTTGGCTCAGTGTGGGCAGCTCTGCTCCCCAGGGTTCCTCTAGCAAACTGCTCTCTTGCTACTCCATCAGATAACTTCTCCCATGTAGCTGTGCTCTTCACAGCCACACTATCCCAGCTGGCAGAATCCTTGCTAATTGGCTCTTCCTGCTACTTTCAGTTTACTTGCTTTGGTTGCTTACTGCTACCAAGTATCATCCCTTATGTAATGCTCAAAAATATCATAATGGCTTATTTTCCTCTTCACTTAAGGACTAATCATAAACAATTTAAAAAAAAAAAAAAAAAAGACAGCCTGGACAATCTGGTGGATGTCTTCTTTTGCCATTTATAGAGCACTCCTTGTACTTACCCAAAATTATCAAAATTATTCTATTCAGAAGTCAGCCTAAAGAACTTCATTTTCTGCATGAAGGAGATTTAGTTACTGAGTATCTTCATCATCTTTAAAGTGGCAGATCCCTTCATTACCTTCAGAAGCCTCAGTTTACGCTGGTTTCCACTCTGCCCACACCCACAGACACAGCAGACTGAGTATGCAGACTGACTGCATAACTCACAGCTCTCCGGCCATAAACTAATTTCTGGAGATAAGGATATATGAAAAATTCTCTAATATTCCAAGGCAAACATACAGGGGTGGTCTCCTTCTCTGCTTTGCGGTTTTGTCTGCTCTATTGTCAGCCAATACTGAAACATCCACAGTAGAGCGACCTGATGGCCATGTTAATCAGCACTTAGAGATACATCACACTCCACTAAGCAGCACCAAACCCTTAAATTCTGCCATCCTTGTGCCGGGTGGCATTTCCTACCCACCAACCTCTGCATAAGGCTTGACTTCAATAGCTTTGCCCTTTTCCTGTTACTGTACCTGTCACCAACCTGACCTTGTAGCACACAACCAGCACTTGGCAGTGCTTTTCTGCTTTCACAAGTATTTTGAGCCTGGCAGAGAAAGCGCTACACAAGAAGAAATGGAGAACAAGCACAACGGGTAGCAGCAACAAACAAAGCAGCAGCTTGGACCAGGAGGCAATGGCACAGGCAGAAAACAGGGGAATTTGAGAAACCCTCTTATCTTTGGTGGACTGGGAGAGGAAGGAGCCAACTCCTTCCCAGAAGACCCATCTGCCAGGCAGATGGCTGATCAAAGGGAGGTGGTCTTCCAGGAGCCAAACACAAGTCACTAGGAACAGGTTGGGTTTTGGCACAAGCTTGAAATGATGAAAGCTCAGCCCTGTGCTGAAGACAGTACCATGCTTTAGCTACAACATCAACCGAACAGGGTGACAGGAAAGAATGGGCTCTTCATTCGCATAGCAAGTTAACTGCATTGTATTTTTAACCACAAAGAAGCTCCGGTAATGAATTTGTCTCAAAAGCCTCCTGAACATCATGTTAATATTAATTATTCAATTCCTAGAATTGAACACTCCTCCCAAGAACACTTTCACCTCTAATAGCCAATTTTCAGTCTCACTTATTGGAAATATTCTCCTGTTTTACTAAATAAAATAGTCTAACGCAGAAGTAAACATTATTTTTGCTACTGAGTCCAGTGAAATCAGGATTCGAAGCAATTTATTTATAGAATAAATACCAATTTCATATGCTCAAGCAAATATTATTTAAAATATGATAATTCATCACTATATTTTCTTTAAAGCATGTATATGAACAAGAGTAAAGAAAAGCTATTTTCAGAGCTTTCTAAGATACATTCCATTACTTTTATCACATACCTCTGTCTTCTGTAGTTTCTTTCCATATAAAGAGAAGAGAAAGAAGGAAGAATAAGTTATTAGTATACAGGTCAGTAAGAGAAAAAAAATATGTAAAAAGAAGAGCAATGTATACAGAATGAAATTTTAGTTCAAAATATTTCTACAAAAACACTTCTTAAATAAACATACCTAAAAACCTATTAAATCAGAATAACCTAGAAAAAACATGATGATGGCCAAAGTCAGTGCTGAGTTGGAGATGCAGTTCATGATGGGTTTAAGTCTATCTATTGTGAAGCTGCTAGTGAAAGGTGCACTCTTGCCCTCCACCTCCAAAAACTAAACCTACTGGCTAGATGTGCTCTCAAATTGAGCCCTTAGCTTTTGGACTTTTACACAAAAGAGAAGTCCAGATTTTGAGATGCTGTCAGAAACCGAGAGTAATATACAAAGACAGCATAACCTACCTTTCTACTATCCTAATTTTCATGCTTCTTTCCAAATGCTTGCTTCCTCACCCATATCTGAGCTGCCCTCAGCCTATCTCAGTCTAACAGATCAGCAGGGGATGTGCCAGTTTGTTATGCCAAACCACTGGGGCCATGTCCCAGCTGCAGCACTGCCTGGAGCTGAACCTGCCCTGCCCTCCAAGCACACCAAGAACCCAGAGAGGAAGGACCTCAAGAGCCGGTCTCACCCAAACAGATGATAAAGTCAGCACCTTGAATCTTTTTTATTACAAGCAAAGAACCATAAATCCCTCTATTTTTAGAAAAAATCCACAAAAGAAGAAAAACCAAAAAAGAGCACTCAGGCTGCCATAATGGATTTTGCCTCTCAGTGAGCACTGACAGCTCTACACCAGGAGAAAACTTTCACCTTATTTGCAAATTACAGATTTTTCTCACCAAAAAAATGTGCCTGAATAAATTTCTGCTTAAACTGACTAAATTAAACATCTGTTTAAGGAAGCATATGGTTAAATGCTTTACTGAAAGCTAATGTTGTTAAATTTACTTCATTTTAAGGAAAAATTGATAATTGAATCAGACTGCATTCTTTGTATTTCCTTTGTCAGATACAGTAAAATCATAATCTGATCATTTACCAAAAAAACAAACAAACAAACAAACAAAGAAACAAAAAAAAAAAAAAAAAAAAAACCAAAAACCCAAACCACAAAAACACCAAAATGAGCAATAAATTTCAAACTTGGATCAAGCTCTCCAAAACCACATACAAATCTAAGAAGTGCTTGAAAAATGTTAGTACTATAAAAATGTCCCTGTATAAATATTATTGAAGTAGGATTTTTTAAGATTGTTATTTTCATAACATAATTGGCTATCAGATGAAATAAACACATTTCATAACTGTATTAAGAAGAACAAAACTTACTTACTTGTAACCCCAACCAGTTATTCCTAAAACGAGAGCCAACACTAAAATGGTGCCAGCAATAGCCCCTATTATTATATTTGTGCTAACCACACCTGGAAACACAAGAAAGAGGAAAAAATATACAGTGTTTTAGGAGATGAATACACAAAACCAGTAAATGCACCACCTTTCAAAAACCTGCTTGAACAACTTGCACTAGGCTGATTAATTGTAAGCAGTGATAAAATCTTGAAGTATAGCATGGACATAAGAGATCACCTGTAAATCAAGCTTTGACCTCTGTGTCTAATCCCTTAACTGAACACTTGCTACATGGGAAAGTCATGTCAGGTACATCAATACAATGTTATCAATATTAAACTGCTGTGGCTTAGATCCTTACAACCTGCCAGGCAAATATATGCTTACATCGCAATAAAAGTGACTGTTTGGTTTTGTTTAAATAGTTGAGTAAATTAACCAAAAGGCATATTCTGAAAGATGGCAAACTGTCCCCCCTACAAGGATTTATAATGCCAAACATTTACGTGCTCTTTTTTCCACAATATATCTTCCTCTTGTACGCAAACCTAAAGCCAAATAGAAACTTTCATCCAAAAAATGTAAAAGCCAAAAATTTGTGTGCCAACACACTGCAAACTGGCCACTTAATAAAAAATTTACACTACAAATAAAAACCAACATAACATGACCTTTCCCTCCAGATATGAAAAGCCCCATAACTTTTCTCCTTGTCCTGATCCACTAATACATGCAATAAGGCCACTCAGACGTTTGGGATAGGTAAGGTAGAACCACACACACTGGTACCAGCTCCGAAAGATGTGCTTGTGACCAGCACCACTCACATCCAAACCCAGGTCTGAGGCCTCATTTACAGACACTGAGTGTTTCTGCTGTGGGAGGAAGAGAGAGGAACAAGACTCCTAATGGTGCAGCATGTTGTATGCTAACTGAAAGAGTAGGAGACCTAGTTTTGCTTAATGAACCTTCCTCAAATCCAACATTTTTGAGTTATTGGTAAAAGTTATAACAACATACCTTTATTGATGGCTTTATCAAAAAAGAGATCATCTTTGATGCGAGAACTGCAGTCATCTCCTCCCCAGAATCGGTCACAGACACACTTTATTTCATTGCTACAAACCTGCAGCCAAAAGTATAGCTCAGAAAAAAATCAGAAAATTAATCCATTCCCGTAATTAATACCTAAAGTATAGGTACAGTGAGAAGGCACTGATTTTGACTGCCTGCAAAATTTTACCAAGAAAAAATTTAATATATAGTGATTTTAATTTATGTATTAGATATAAAGATATTAAATGTACTATTACATTTTATATAAATAGAAGTAATATGTATTAAGTACATTAATATCTTTTAATGTAATCTATATTTAATAGAGCCATTTATAATTGCTTTGGGAGACTCTGACCTCAAGGACTTTTTTTTTTACAAAATATGATGAAGTGGTTGATTTCAGATTAAAAAGGGAATTTTAACACAGTGTACAAGACAAAAGACATTATGAGAGAACAACTCCTTTGATCTCATCTCAGCCATAGGGACCTGGACAGTGTTTCAAACTGTGAGGGACAGAGGGACTTGCCAGGGTCATAGCAAAGCCACAGGCTGTGCACCAAGCAGAGCAGCTACCACTAGCCAAAAGCCAGTTCACTGCCCTCTCCTCCAGAGCAATGCAATTCTCAGCCAACAAAATCCAAAAACTTTATGAACCGTCTTGACTGTTGACACAATAAGGAGGTAATTAAAAAGAATATCTGGAAAACCAGAGAACCAAGTTTCTCAATTCTCTTCTCAATTTCTCAATTTTGAAAAACTTCTCTGGCATAAGGACTTCTAGAGTCATACTGCTGGCTTCCTGAAAACTCTGTACAGGCTAGTACACTACACGATGCCGGGTACTCAGCAGAAACAGTAAAAGGGATTAAAGAGTACAAGAACATACACCATGTCCTGAGCAAATCTGGCTGTCTGTAGTGCCCGGGCAGGTGCTGAAGTTGAAGGCCTCAGTGGGGAGGCAGCGATGGTCAAGGCACACCATGTTTGGCCCACACGGTGTCCCGTTCTCGACATAGCCCAGGTCCGTCTCCTCATCAAGCTTCACGTGGCCACCACTGCAAGACAACCAAGAGGACGTTGGAGACTTGTGCTGTGATTACATGGGACTACTTGAGAAACTGGGTTCTGGGCTGCTGCCTTGATTTCTATCTGCGTTATACAACACACACGACCAGGTGAGACTGAGTATTGGCTTAAGTTATCTCACTGTCTCTAACACGAAACAAAGCAAAACATAGTATATCTAATCAAACAAATGTAATGGTGAAAACAAAGACCATTTTTCCTGTAAAAGAGCTAGAGTTAGATTAAACACTGAGTTTACTTGTTTAGGACTTTATTTCATCTTACAGCTCTACGAAACTATGAAAACATACCATGTCTATACTTGGGATTCATCTAAAATATAGCAACAAATTAAGCTGCCAGTTAGCTTTGGCAGTGCAGGCATATGTCTAAATATTTTAGGTACATTAAGTACTTTTACAAATGCTAAAGAATGTAAAATCAAGGGGCCTGAGAAGAGCATTACATCTCTACGGGCAAAATTAACTACTGAACAGAGAGGACTGCAAAACAGCTGCACACTCCACATGCAGTTAATTTCCTGAAGCTTAACAAAGGTTAAAATGGAGTAATGGTTATGTGTTAATAGGGAAAAAACTGCACAGAAATAGTTTTTCTGCACTAAGGAATGAGAAAGCTGCTTTACTATGCAAGATGGATATTAATTTTTCTGTTTTCAGGATTTCCAAATACCTGCAATTGTAGACTCTTCCAAAGTGCAAGATTGATGTTGTGATTTCACCATCAAGCTCTCCAAGTCTGGGCACACTGGATATATTGGAGCACAGAAGGTATCCACATAGCACATCCCTACATTGAAAGAATAAAAAGATACTCATAAAAAATAAAATTCAATTAAAAGGGACAATCAAAAATTCAAGGCTTTCTTCACTCTCTTGGTTACATATTCGTTATTCCTTTTTTCTCCCACTGACAATTACTCCCATAAATAATGTGGTTTCAAAGAAAACTTTTCTCCTTGAGCTTAGATTGGGAAAAATCTTTATTTTATTATGCACTAACAAAAACGCTCTGAGTAATAGCAAGCAGGAAGCTGTCAAGAACAAACCACTGATTTACTATCCTATTAAACTGATTAAACTATCAAACTGATTTACTATCCTATTTAAATACAGTAACTGGTCCATGGAGGAGCACCAGTAAATACTGATTTTAAATAAACTCTCATATGACACATATGTAAGGGAACTACAGACACAAAGTTTAATTCAACTGTTGAAGGGACTTTATTTCTCATGTGTGGACTTTTGTGACTTTGCACTGTCAGAATAGTAGGGTCTGGCATTTCACATATTACTGAATATTTTTTACTTATGAATTTGTAATGGAACAGGAGTAAGGTTATCAAATCTGCACAGAAAGGTGGGAAAAGACATCAGTTCACCAGTAGGCATAACTAGAATTCAAATGGCACTGACAAAATGAAGAAATCTGAAAAAAACAGTTTTATAAGGACTGGTGAGAGGTTCAGAAACAGGCAGAAACAATCAATTGCATAAGTACAGAATGTGTTTAGGTAACAACCTGCAGGAAAATATTTGGAAAGTTACAATACGATGAAAAGTGAACACAACTTAGCAATGCGATGGTACAGTATAAAAAGTGACCACACCAAGACATGAAACCACAGGCTACTCTCCCCCTCACTGCTAAGCCTCACTGAGAGTACTAGGACCACTTTTGGTTCAAGTTCTCCCAAGCTCAGATGGTGCTCTCTTGTCAGAGATCATCTCTTCTCTACACTCTGCTTCCTCCAGAATTTCTTGCACAAAGGTCTGCAGAAGGTGACCAGAAGCCTGATCCATACAGAGGCTTTTTGAGCTCCTTCATACCAGCTAAAGAAATGGATCAGGGGTCAAAAAACTCATACTAATTGTTTTCTAAACGGATCAACTTACTGTTTATTGCACTGAATCCAAGACTCCTTGTCTCTTCCACAGTTTCCTTTCTCAGTTCCTTCAATATTCAGCTTCTCATAGCAGTACCTGTCAGCAGCCGTCACTTCTGAAAACAGAAACAAATCTCTTCTAAGATGATGACGGTTTATTGGTCAAAAATGTCCAGAAGACACGGAAATTAATTAATGAAGCCTAACAGAGCCTAATGAGCCTAAATTAAAGAGTATAGGCTCCCTAGATGATTATTAATGAGAACTTAAATTTCAAACTTCAGAGCAAACACCAGTAAGCTAACAAACACCACAGATAGAGCTGGAAAAGAGGATGGAAAGACAAAATGAAGGGGGGAGAGTGGGAGGGACATACAGTTCTAGATGTTTTCAGTGGTTCTCAATATGTCTCTTCCATAATTTTTTCTAGTTGTAATACTCTTTCAAGCCACATGAATTACAATCAACATAGAAACAGTAACATTCACTCACTTTCACCCCAGATATATTTACATTGCCGGTCCCTGGTTTTACATCTTCCTCCAAAGCAAATACCCTTAAAAGAAAGAAAAAAATACTGAAAAAGTTTCAAATCACTCGATTTTCAAAAAAAACCATATTTTTACTATACAGATTTGTCACATGCTTTCTACTGAGGTAGCTAATATGTAATTCTACCTTTTTTTCATTCAAAATATGCCTAGCTCATGAATGTTAGCAGAACTGTCCCAGGTGACTTCCAAAGATATTAAAACACAATCTATAAAAAGCCATTTACAACAGCAGAAAGAATGTAAAACAAAGTTAAGTGCTAGTTACCTGTTTGTTATCACACGAATATCCATCCATTTTATGAATATTAGGAGAACACTATAAAATATAAAATAAGCAATAGATCATAGATCAGACAAGCATGAAAGCCAAGTACACAACAAATGTAATATGAAAAATTATTTCAGTATCATGCTGTTTTTTTCAGTATCAGCAGGTTTAACACAATTTTTATAGACCTTACTATACAAAACAGTAACATTCAGTAACATTCATAGTGATTGTAACAGAACAGTAACATCCATAGTGATTGCGAGACTACATGTGTGATTTTTAATCCTTGGATAGAAGACACAAAAATCACCTGACTAGAATTTCCTGTGCAGTTCTCTGCAATATCACAATCATTCACCGCTTCTCGACACAAAACTCCTTTAGGTTCAAACTGGAACAAAAAAGGACAGAAAATTAGTGTCTTCATTTCTCCATATCTTGCCTTAAATGCAATGTTTCCTTATAGCTTTATCTAAAATAAAAAATGTGAAATATTCATGTGCTGACTGAAGTGGAAAGACTTTCCTTTCTGTGGTGTGATTGCTGCACCACTCAAGCCATTTACTGGTACAAGTGACACCACTCTTTCAGGCATCCCCTCTCAAGTGCATCAAGTGTGGGACCAAGCAGGAAAAGTGCTCTCCTGGGGCATAGAACCCCTGGTATTTATCAAACCAATACCACAGTGGCTTACAGCATTATCCTGACCAGTGGCTTACAGCATTATCCTGACAAGGTCACTGTGCCTTTCTATGACTACTTTACTCTTCTTTACAATATAAAAAGAGTGATCCCGATCTTCTCTCTAAGGGTGAAGAACACCACAGAGCTCCATGGATGAACACTTTGCTTATCATAATCCCCCACTGTTGTTGTAGAATGGAAACTATTACTAAATGTAGTGAATTCTGTACAGTTGGACACAATTTTCCAAGTGACCATATTTTTTTAATGTGCTAAGTCTCAAGACCTGGAAAAGCAGGAAAACATCCCATTTGCAGCAATTGTTAGTGCTTCTGGTCATGGACATACTACAGATGCCTCACTTTTTCCTGAAAGTTTCCTTAACTCTGTGATACCCAGTTCATTTTGCAGCTCTGTGAGTTTTCCTTTTTTTTGGATCTGCACACACATACATTTTGGTGGGGAAAACTGATAACCCTACAGCTGGTGCCAAGGGGCACATTTAGTGGAAGAGCTAGACTAGGGTATTTCATGGGCCTTCAGCTTCCTTTTCCTACCAGTCTCTGAGAAAACGCAGACAGGAATGTTGTCAGAGACATTACAGGATGCTGGGATGTACACTCACCATGTTTTGCTTGCAATCTGTCCTTCAGTCCTGCTTTCAGGCAGGGTATTACAGGGGAAGGTAACTCCAAGTTTGGGAACTGTTATATATGGTCTTTTGAGTTGTCCTGATTAGCACCTCCTGGGGATACCTGTTCTGAAAAATTCTACTTTTCTGTTCACTTGCTCACTCTTGCCACTGTGTATGTAGATAAAACCTTGTCTTCTTTGCAAAAATAAGGTAGGTATACAGAAGCTTAATTTTGTTCTGACAATCTTTAATGTACTGCCTATGTGACTTGGATTCTTGAACAAAATTCACCCACACTGGCAATCTGCTGATTTCTTTTTTTTATATTACATTAAAAAAAGGAATGTGCTAAGGGAAATGTGATCTGTTCCAGTATAATCTGTGCTTTTTCTTTTTTTAACATTAGGATGAACAAAAAGTCAAGAATGTTATTACTAATGATCCTCCCAAGGAAATGAAACCATCAAATGTGCACAGACAAAGATAAAAATATCACACATAGTACACTAGAGTTTTAATTACATTAATACTAATTATCATTATTAATAAATGAGTATAAACAACTATTTGAAGTCATATTTAGCTGGGCTCCCTTACAACCAAGATCTGGTTAAACCTCCTTTTACTATTTACTGATATATCAGGAAGAATACCTTACAGTTTACATAGGGCTTGGTTCACTTTACTCAGTGGGATTTCAGTCAATCCAAGCATAAGGAGACACAGGCAGACCAAACTGAAACTGAATTTATGTGTCTTTTAGATGAACCCTTCTGGACAATTCTGCTAGCTGTGCTTTTGGTTTTGTTACTGTATCCTTTTCTCAGACCCTCTGTGGTACAATTTTCCCATTCAGTCTCATGGGGCAAATCCAGAGCAGCATGTATGGCATTGGGAATGGCACAAGGACATCTAATGAAATCTCATGGAACTTCCAACTAGTAAAACTTATCTGAAACTGGAAGGATTTCATTTACCTCTGCATCTGATGACAGGCCCTGGCCCAAGAAGCCAAGCCTAAAAGACAGAGTATAGCCCCAGACAAATCAGATTTCAGCCAATTTTAAAAGGCAAGCTTTCAGAAGGGTGATCACAAGGTCTGGAAGGGAAAACACACGTGCTGTGGTGCCTGCAGCCACCTGGATGCATTCCCACCAGGATGCTGCAGTGAAGGTCACTGCCCTTACCCGGCACTTCCGACAGCAAAGCCCGTTGCTGCACTGGGAGCCCGCTGTCAGGGTGCAAGTGTTGCAGCACTCTCCTCCTTCGCTGGCACACTCCTGAGGAACACACACACTTATAACAGAATACATGGGAAAAGCACATGAGCCCCAAGCTCTCTTAGTACTTCTCGTCTTAGCATGCTACCTGAATGGATTTCTAATCAGGTTTTTAGGCACCTGGAAGAAGAAATAGGCATGCACTTGTGGGGCATGAAACTGCTGTTTCCTATGGAATATAGAAAATAATTTTTCTAACTTCATATTGTCAATCATTAAATAGTGACACTTTAGCACTGACCAGAGTCATGTTCACATCTAGGACAATACTTTCTTTAATAAGGCCTTTGAAGGCCTTATTCTGCACAGGCAGCTATTATTATTACTCTTCAGAATTTATGTGGTGATAAAATAAAAAAGCTGCCCCACATTGTGTTAAACATGATGAAAAATGTAAGAAATTATGAATTCTTTGGTACAGGACCTTTGCATTGCTTGTCTTCCCCCACTTATTGTTAATGGCAGCAACGGGCAGCACCAAGTCTTGGAGAATCTAGTTGCTAGTTTAAAAAGCATTGCACTTACCGCTATTGTCCCACAGTCACATTCTTCTCCATCTTCCACAAAGCCATTGCCACATTCTGGAGGATCCAGAAGCTGCAGGGTAAATTCAGAAATCAAAGGGTATGTCTCTCCTAAGGGAATAATTTCTCATATCTCCTAAGGGAGTCATATTTACTCTGTGCAACATGGCTTTTTACCTAGCACTCTAAATTTATTAACTGAAAAACAGTATCCAGTCTGAAACAGACTAAAAGAACACAACTGAGGTGTACAAAGAATGAACGCTGCTGCAAATTAATTCAGCAATATGGCCCAGTAACACAGTAACTTTTGTGCATAAGTGTCAGTTTTACAGCAAATTCAGTTTGAGCAGAAGTTACAATGAAAATCAAAAGATGTGACAATAAAAGAAGAAAATTAAAACAATATGATGCTTTCATTATCTTCACAGTGGTTGCAATTGCTCTTGTTCTGAAATTCAAGTGATGAGGGCTCAAAAGTTAAAGCCTGCACTGTAAGCTCAGAAGAAAACTCACAAAAATTTCTCCTTTGGTAGTAGGTGGCTTAGAAAGGCATGGAAAGTCAACAGGCTGAGTTTCTTTGTCAGCTTTTATTGTAGCTGGACTTTTCTTTCCCTTTTTCTCTACCACAGTTGGGAACTTGCAGTAGTTTTCTATAAGCATGTATCACATAAGGGAGATGAGGAAGTATAGCTGGTGAGACTTCCTCCCTTTCCTTTGAGTCTTCCCACTGAACTGTAACTTAAAATATCTAAATCTGTATATCTGTGTGCTATACTCTCTTCTAATGAACACTTAGACACCTATATTCTGTTCTTTCCAGTTTCAATAAAATTACAACACATAATTCTTCTAAAAGAAAACAAATGAGAAGGCATATAAGGGTGTCACCAGATTAAAATTTTGCAGATTGTCCTCTAAGTTCTCCAATTAAAATAGGATCATTCCAAAAACCACTCTACTTAGGAGTCATCTGCAAAAGTACATCATTCATAGTGTAGAGTGCATTTCTCTCCACCTGCTGCCTCTCTGTCAGTAGCTCACAGGATGGAGCATCACCCCTCACATTTCACTGTGCCACAAACCACAGCCTGGCACAGGCTGATGTGCTATTATTAGATCCCCTATTGAAATGGAAATTTGACTGCAGCATGAAGAAATTCTATATGCATATGTAGAATTTAACATAAAATGTATGCAAGCAATTATCTTTTAGAGTTACTAAAGAGTTGATAAAACTGCTTGTTTCCTATGTATTTTTCCAGACATCTTAACTTCTTCCTTATCTCTAGGTGGGCTGCACAACAGAGACAAGGAGACTGCAGTAACAGAGCATCCTGCCTTGAAAAGGCCTTGAGGGGAAGCTGTATGAGGAGTGGCTGAGGGCACTTCATCTGTTCAGCCTGGAGAAGAAGAGACTGAGAGGACATCTCATCGCAGTTACAACTTCCTTGTGAGGGGAAGAGGAGGGACAGGCACTGACCTCTTCTCTGTGGTGACCAGTGACAAGATTTAAAGGAAGGGCCTGAAGTTGCATCAGGGGAGGTTTTGGTTGGATCTTAGAAAAGAGTTCTTCACCCAGAGGGTGGTTGGGCACTGGAACAGGCTCCCCAGGGCAGTGGTCACAGCACCAAGCCTGACAGAGTTCAGGAAGTGCTTGGATGATACTCTCAGGCACATGGTATGACTCTTGGGATCATGGTATGACTCCTGTGCCGGGTTAAGGGTTGGACTCGATTATCCTTCCAACTAGGCATAATCTGTGATTCTGTGAAAATATTGCTACAGTACATAGGGACAGCTAAGTATGAAATTGAAGAAAAAAAAAACACATTAAGAGCAAATTGTATATCTTTTCCCCGAATTTATATTATTCATCCATTCATTTGAAAAGCACATATGTTCAATCTGCTTCAGCAGCCACTGATGTAATTTTTGGGATTGTAACTGATTTAACAGTGGAGCACTGTCAAACACTGCACCTTGTCACATCAGCTTTCCTTTATGTTGTAATTCCTGAAAAGTAAAAGTAAGTTTGTGTTTCATCACCCTTACTAGGAAATATGTCTTCGACAGCTTTGTGAATTAGACAGACATTCATTGACAACACCTTTAAACAAACCCAACCACAACATATAAAAGAGTCTGAATCACCATGGCTTCCACATCTAACTTCCACATTTCTGCATGCCATTAGAAATAAATTGTAAATACTGTCAAACTAAATTGGAGCAGGGCAATTTTTTTTTTCCAAATGACAGACGTGTAAATTAATGTAATTACTAAAACAAGATCACAGAATCATAGAAGCAACCAGGTTGGAAAAGACCACTGAGATCATCAAGTCAAACCCTTGATCCAACACCGCCGTGGTTACCAGACCCTGGCATTAAGTGCCACATCCAGTTTCCTCTTAAAAACCTCCAGGGATGGTGAATCCACCAGCTCCCTGGGCAGCCCATTCCAATGTCTGATTACTCTCTCCATAAAAAATTTCTTCCTAATATCCAACCTAAACCTCCCCTGGCAGAGCTTAAAACCGTGCCCTCTTGTCCTACTGCTGATTGCCTGGGAGAAGAGACCGACCCCCACCTGGCTACAACCTCCTCTCAGGTAGTTGTAGAGAGTGATGAGGTCTCCCCTGAGCCTCCTCTTCTCCAGGTTAAACAACCCCAGCTCCTCAGCCTCTCCTCATAGGACTTGTGCTTGGGATCAAGTAAGACCCATTACACTATGTAAACAATTCACTCAGTAAAGGAATAAAACCACCGGTATTTCTCTCCACCCTTAACAAACTGCAGCTGCATTCCAAATTAGAAATCTTACATCTTATTAATGAATTACAGTGCCTTGTCTCCACTTTTAATAATACATTATTCCATGAAAAGAGACCTTTAGGAGAAAAGCAGGCTCAGTGTGTCCAGATTTGATGCTTTCTCTTCCCCCTTCTAACATTTATTGAAACTCTGTGGTTGTCAGAAGATGCACTTTTTCTCAGGTGCACCCGAAGGAACGTGCATCACTCCTGAATTGACTTTCTTCTCTTTTACATCTGTGACCACCTCAATTATCAAGTCTTTTTTCCACCCTGGACCGTCTTTCTGCCTTAGCCTCTTTCCTCTGCTTGTTGAAAGACAGCCATTAAGTCGAGGTTAACATTAATTATATATAGAAAAGAGTCAAGACCATTATCCTGCTTGCTCCACATTTTAACACGAGCTTCAGTAAACAGACCAGGAATAAACTGAAACACTGCTGCAAATCCTCCATTGCAGAAGCCCTTGCATCTTGGTTGGAGTTTCTTTAGCCTTGCTTTGTATTTACCTCCCTTAAATGTCTGGTGGTAGGGCAATGCACCCTCTGCAGAGGCTATAGAAGTCATGTCTTCATCTTGGGACAGATGTGAAATAAAAACGATCCAACTTCAGCCTCCAGAGACTTGTACCAAAAGACATTCAGTGCAAATTAGAACTCAAGCTGTGCAAAAGTTTACCAAGACACTTGAAGCCTCAGTAAATACAGTCAGTTGTAATATATAACATAATACAATACAATAATATAATACAAATATAAAATACAAAAATGTATTGTATTTACAATATTCAGAACAAATTGCATGAGGGATGGTTCTAGATCAAAGACTGTGGGAACTCTGTTGGACATGAAACCACTTTATTAAAAATTTATTTAAATATGATTTCTAAACTACTATGAACTAAAATAATCTACTTAGATCCATATGTTGCCACAATAGTTAGAACTTAGAAAAAAATCCAGAAATAGAGAAATTACAGGTGTTTTTTCCAACATTATAATTTTCATTTTTCTTGGTTTCATCTAAATTAGCAATAGAATAGAAATAATACTCAATAATAAGGTAATGCTTACTTTGGTTGGTTTATTGAAAAGGCAGGCGCCACCTCCATTGTTTAAAAATTCATGATACTCTTCAATATCACACTCAGAGAACTTGCTTGGAAGATAGTACCTGACAGAAATAAGGTAGCAGGATTACTTTCTCTAGTGCTTTTTACACTGTATTTTCTTTATTCAAAACAGGAAAAATATAACGTTATACTTTAGAAAAAGTATAAAAGCATGCTGTTCAGAATCAAAGTGACTCTTTGTAAGTCTATCTGATTGGAAATCCTTTCAGTTAATAACAAGGAAATATTAACAATGACATAGAGCTCGTGGAAAGTGAGAGCTTTAGAACATTTCACTAAACTTTTACATGTCAAACACCACAAGTCTTATTAAAGAGTGTGTAGTTCTCACAAGTGTGACTTGTTCCACTAACAGGCCTGATCTCAGAAATATATTTATTTCCCATTCATACTGCAAGAGACAAAGACTGATCCTACTTTGTTTCCCTCTTAGAGGAAATTGCTCTCCTGGCCCAGAGAATTTTTATATAATAGCATTATGCCCTTTCAAACATGCTTCTAACAAACACCACCTAACATTTCAGCTTCCCCCTATCGTGTGTCCCACTCAGTAAATTTCAACTGAGTACAGAGCACCAACCTGAGGCACAGTGCCCCACCTAAAAACCACATGAATCTCTGCATGGATCCTTTCCACAGGAAGTAAGTTTTCTCAAAGCAACTTCAGTGATCTTTATATTCAGATGAGTAGTCATGAAAGTACTTATGCTTCAAGCAGACTGTGGAGTCTCAAGGACTTTCCTCTATCAGCTCATCACACGATAAAAAAATATTAGCCAAAGTGTTATCCTGCATTGCCAGGAGTGATAACTGGCTCTTTCTATCCCTGCTGTTTATAACTTAGGTCTAAACACTACAGAGATTGTGGAATTCCCCAACATCCATCAATAAACTAGATAAATAAAAGGCTTTTTTGTGTCCCTAATTATTCAAAAGGTTTGAACTTCAGATAAAGAATTTTAAGGCCCTTAGATAAGAAATCACTTTTGTAAGAATCCAAAATGCTTCTCTGATTTGATTTTTAACATATTAAAAATCAGAAAAATCCTACCTAATATGTTTTCAGGTATATCAAGGTGAAAAATGCACACATTCACACTTTCAAAGAGTTTTGAACGAAATACACTCTTTGTTCAAAAATTTTCTGACCGCAAAGCTATTGTGAAAATTTGCAGATCCACTTGAAATGAACTAAAAAACCTGGAGCACTGTCTAAATCTAAAACTAGACTACAGTTTAACTCGTTCACATGATAAAAGACGAGCCTGTAATAAAAATTAAGGCCTGTATACACATGCCATGTTAGAAGGCATCAAGTTTCAATCAGTAACAAAAATTTGCTGATTTACTAGTTCTTAGACAAAATTTCTCCAGTAGTATAAGTATATATACACATATATTTATATAAGTGGGTATAAGTACACTCAGCCTCCCATGGGGGGTGTTTTTTTCTGACAATATTACACAACTTGAGGGATAAAAAATGATAAGATTCAGATGAAAGATTCCAACAGAAACACTAAAAATGAGACATACTTCAGAAATCTGATTATAGGATTTCAAGAATTGGGCTGTGTCATTGTTTGTTCTCACAACTCAATAGCAAACTTGCAGGAGAAAAAAAGTTACAAATGCTTCTGCTTCTTTGCAATAACCTGGCTTGACTGTTGAGCCCTTTGCTTTGAAAGTTAAATCAGCATTCACCAAAAATTCTCACATATCCTCTCATTAAGTCACTTATTCTCACATTTCTTTGAAGGTATCTAAGGTATATAGCTAAAACCTTATTTTCTGAAAAATTAATCACCACAAATATTCTGCTGAACCACAAAAGGCAAACATTTTCACACCCTTCCTTTATGTCACTGTATGAAGCACATGAATTTCCTCTAGTGAAATGCCTTACCCCATATCTCCCATTATGCATCCAGACCACATGTCCTCACACTTACACTCACCTGACAAAAAAAAAAAGATAAAGTCAAAAGTTACATCTTGAGCCTCGTGAGTCCAAAATAACAAACTTCTTATCACAAAAATCACATTGAACTCAATTCCATTTCATATTTCAATAAAAGTTGAAATTTTTTTGTTTGTTGCACACCTTAGTGTAAGCGTACCAGTGCACACTGCCAAACTTTTTCTAAAAACTATACATGATTCTATGCAATCCTGAGCTTTGAAAATATGTCCTGTTTTAATTTCCTTCTCTTAAAGCAAAGTTAAGGGAAACTGCAGTGTCAGCCTTCAGCACTTGCAAATCATGAGCCAGCTCTCCCATCTTCTCCTGCGTGATGATATTCAATTCCCAAATCTTCAGAGTAAGAAAAAAAGAATCATTTTAACCCTTCTATTTTTTACTTCTCTTCTTTGACTACACTTATGTGACTGGAGAAATCTTCAGTTAAAAAAAAACTCTAACAAAAAAGCAGATAAAAAAAGCATAAAACAATCAGTAAACACACGGCAATACAGCAGAATCCATCAGCTTCTTCCTCTGCTCTCCCTCCCTTCACCATGCAACTCCCTGGTTGGCAGAGGGCAGTCCTCCCTTCTGCCCTGCCAGCCTGCCTGGGATCACTTTGCTTTGGTCTCACTCCTCCACTTTCAGTACTGTGCCTTGTTTCTGTTTCAGTAGCAGTCCTTTGTACATACATGTTCTGTAGCTTGCCTTACTGTACACATGAACATCAGTTTATTGCTTCCATTTCAAAAGTACAGTTAGAAAGGAAATGAGGCTCTGTCCAACAGGTGCATTCTCACCTATCCCCACCAAAACAGTGCCCTACCTCCCTCAGTCATAGAGAATCACCACTTTTACAATTTTCCCTTTTACCCTGCCCCTGTATCAGCTCAAAAATATGCAGGTGGGAAATGAATGCTGAACATGTCTGTAGCATAGAGCATCCGCCCTACATTTCTGAGTATTTTTAAAATTAGAATTACATAATCTGCAAAATCTTTTAAATGCAGATGTGCCCCTGCATTATATACTTTCTTTAAAATGTCTGTAAACAAAATCCACGTAAGCAGAGTTCTATTACTCAAATAGTAATTTATCTTTTTTCAAATAGTAATTTATCTTTTTTAAGCCACATAAGTAGATATGATCCAATAAGTAAACACTCCAATTCATCATCTACATTGTTTCAAAACTGGTTTTTTATTTTAATCATATCGAGGCTGGGATTTAATATAACATGGAAGGAGGAAGGGTGAGGTGCTTGTTGTGGGCAGGATGGCAAAGATCTCAATTAAAGCATTGCATATAAACAGGGATTACTAAGAAGTTGAATACCAAGGTTACAGCAGAGAAATGGTAGCAGTAGGGCAGTAAATACAAGGTATTTGAGTAATCTACAAGAGGAACTGGGCATTTGGGAAATGTACAAGAAATCAAACAAGGAAAATAGAGAAAAAGTTATATTGTCAAAACTATTCCATGTAACAGTATTAAGCTTACTCCTCAACATTCCCAGGTCTAATAACGCATGTTTCCACCTTCGTGCTGTAAGACAGAAGCTGTTTGGTCTGTGGATGAAACACCAATCTCCCTGAAATGAATGTAAGTGGCAGACACCTTTATGGTTTGTTTTGAATGCAACAGTGACACCAGTGCTGCCAGGAATTATGAGCAGGGGAATATCACAGCATTTAAATAGTGGAATTTAATGATATCAAGAATCAGAAAATACGCCTAGCTGGAAGGCACCCACAAGGATCATCTAGTCTAACTCGTAGCCGTGCACAAAACCATCCTCAAGAGTCACACCCTATCCCTGAGAGTATGGTCTAAACTCTTTCTGAACTCTGTCAGGCTTGGGGCTGTGACCACTGCCCTGGGGAGCCTGTTCCAGTGCCCAACCACCCTCTGGGTGAAGAACCTTTTTCTAAGATCCAACCAAAACCTCCCCTGACACAACTTCAGGTCCTTCCTTTAGGTCTTGTCACTGGTCACCACAGAGAAGAGATCAGTGCCCCTGTTCTTCCCCTCATGAGGAAGTTGTAACTGCAGTGAGGTCTCGCCTCAGTTTCCTCTTCTCCAGGCTGAACAGACCAAGTGCCCTCAGCCGCTCCTCATACGGCTTCCCCTCAAGGCCCTTCACCATCTTTGGTGCCCTCCTTTGGACACTCTCTAACAGCTTCATGTCTTTTTTATATTGCAGTGCCCCAAACTACACACAGCTTCAAGGTGAGGCTGCTCCAGTGCAGAGCAGAGCAGGACAACTCCCTCACTCGACCAGTTGGCAGTTCTTTGCCTGATACCCCCAGGACACAGTTGGCTCTCCTGGATGCCAGGGCACTGCTGACTCATATTCAACTTGCTGTTGATCAGGACCCCCAGGTCCTTTTCTGTGGCACTGCTTTCCAGCATCTCATTCCCCAGTCTGTACAAACATCCAGGGTTGCCCGATCCCAGCTGTGGAATCTGGCACTTTCCGTTGTTGAACTTCATATGGTTGGTGATTGTTCAGTCCTCTGATTTGTTGAGATCTTTCTGCAGGGCCTCCTTGCCTTCAGGGTAGTCAAAAGCTCCTCTGAGTTTTGTGTCATCTGCAAACTTGTCTTAGTATCCCTTCCAGTCCTGCATCCAAGTCATTTAGGATGGAGTTCTGTGGAACCTCACCCGTGACAGGTCACCAGTCTGATGTTCCCCATTCACTATCACCATCTGTGCTCAACCCATGAGCCAATTGCTCACCCACTGCATGATGTGTTTATCCAGCTGTATGCTGGGTATTTTGTCTAGAAGGATACTGTGAGAGACAGTATCAAAGGTTTTACTGAAATCCAAAAAGATTACATCACCTGGCTTCCCTTGATCAACTAGGTGTGTTACTTTGTCATAAAAAGAAATCAGGTTTTATAAGCAGGACTTTCCTCTCATGAAGCCATGCTGGCTGTCTGTCTCTTCTCATGTTATTACAAGAAATAAAAATATTTCAACATTGTGAGAAACAGAAGGAAGAAACACATGTTAGAGAGATACTGATGAGATCCTCCACATTTTAAGTTTTTTTTTTCTTGAGACAGAGTGAAAAAACAAATAACCTTACCACTTATAATTTTTCTTCTGTCTGAGAAAATGCCAATGTTTTGGGCCAAGGTCTGTGCCAGAGTAACTGCCATCAAGTCTGGCTTTCCAAACTGAAAGAAATAAGCAAGGTAGGAAAAGTAATCAGTTACATACAGGTATCTCAGATTCAAGTGAAGCTTTTCTCACTTCAAAGCAATAAGAGCCAAAATCACATGCACAATGTTAAGCATTCTTACTTTAGGGTAGTTAGATAATGGAAAAGTGAGAAAAACTAAACACCAGTTTATGGACAAGTTAAGTAAGAGAAAGTCTGTTTATTTCTTGCCATTGTGGTTGCAAATATGAATGACAGGATATTGCAGAACTTGCTGAAAAGTGCATTTGAATCTATATCTGACTTTATTCACTCATCACTCTTCATTGAGATGTCCCTTCTCTAGAGCTGCACTAAAATTCTGAATCAGCAAAGAAAGAGAAAATATTTTGAGGAACATATCTGCACTGATAAATCCTGTGCAGATAAATTTCCACCACGTTTTTCTCACAGCAGTATCCCCACCTACCTCATTCACACCTCCGCCTTTAAGCAAAGAGCAGATTCCACCAGTGTGGGCTATACCACTTCGACTGCTCTGAAATCGACTCCCCCTTTGACAAAAAAGAAAAGAAAAGGAAGTTTACCCTGACCAGTCATGAGTTTTGAATCTATCTATTCCAGTATCTACCCTTCTGATTTCCAAATGAGAAGCTGGCATTTGCAAATGCTGGTTGCCACCACTATGCTGCAAACTGTGCAAAAACAAAATAGGAAAACCAGATAACCACTCACAAACCTCACATGACAAATTATCTCCAGAAAAGTTACACCATCTTGCCTCCTCCTTCTCAGAATACTGAATACAAGAAAGCATAAGAAGAAGGGGACTATTTTGCCAAATCACCTGGATCTCACCAGCCTTTTGTTTCCTGACATACTACTGCACCGAGTGACTTCTGCTGGCACATGCTACAGGCAGAGCGCAGGAGAGGCCATCATGCTGCCAATGCTAGGGGACTAGTAAAATGACACTGTCTAATCGGGCAATGCTGATGGTAAAACTTGTAGGGAGATGCATTAGTGGAAGGTGTAGACGTATGTGAAAATTCCCTGAAACTACAGCCCATCTCATCCAAGGAACAGATGCACTCCAAGCCTAAATCTAATCACCTCTTTGGCGCTGACCACATCAGCATGAATGACTGCCAGTAACTGGAGACAAAATATACTCTGCTTCACTTGAGAGTACTGATCCATCCAAGCCCTGGCAAGTTATTTATCTCAGAAAAAAAGAGGAAAACATCAAGAAGCAATACAATGGGCTAACTGTGCTGAAGGTGAAAGTACATTTGTAACTAGCATACCATCACACCAGCTAACCTCACCTCCCAGTTTAGCCATGTCTCACTCACAGACACAGCTTCAGAAACTATTTCTAAAAAATCTATGAATGCAATACCTCAAACATCATTGGTGGTGGCACTAGAATTAGCATTACAGGCCAAATCAGGCTCTCTTCTGCGGTAGTCAATCCACACACGTTCACAAGAACAAGACTTCCCCCCAAAGACCTTACAATGTACCAGAGAACATACATGAAGGATGTGAGAAAACCTGATTCCCACTTAACAGATAAAGATCTGAGCCATGGGGAAAACAAAATCTGTAAGCACCACTTGCAGATCTTACTAGATTTCTTCATGGTAGAAATCAATGATAGTAATTAAGACTGTGCAAAAATTCTGAGAGGGTGGATCCTGGGCTTGGGTATCCTGGAACCATACCATGACCATAGCCATGTAAAGATGAGGTTTTAGGTCAAGTTAATTCCTATAGGATTCTAAAATAGTCAGCAGAGAGAAAAAAGGACCCCAAAAGAAAAGATATTCATTTGGCCTCTTTGCTGTGAATCAAAAATCTCAGCCATGAACCTCTCCTCTATTTTTGTAGATACATTTTATTGTATCAATCTTATTTCCAAAACAATTAAGATATTTAGGAAAAAAAAACATTCCTCTCATTTTTCTTACAGTTCAAATATTTTGGGAGAACAAACTGTTTGGAGGATCTGAAACACTGCAGCAATCGTGCAGCATGCAGGTGATTCACTAAATTAAAGCAGGCCATTGTGCGCTTGAGCAGGAAACCTCACTGGTTTCAAAACTAATGTTCTGCTTTTAAATAATACAACAGGTCAGTCCGTGCTCTGCTGCTAAAGAAGCCAGCCTCTGAGGTGGAATCATGCAAGACCCTCCAGGTATCTGCTCTTGTGGATAGGTAACTGCACAGAATAACAAAGGATTACAGCACATGCAGCTCAGTCTTAGTAAGTTAAAACTGAGAGTCAAACCTCTAGTCGCATTGGCAGGCAATTTGTGCATTATCTTTTCCCCACCTCCCCACCCAAAACATTTTTTTCTGAATTATTGTGGATTACACACACAACAGAATGGAGATGCATGAGCAACTTGTGAGAATCAACCCCCAAGGAAAGAAAAAACCCAGTAATAAAACATCACACGAGGTTACGTACGAAAAAAGGTGAACTGCGTCACATTTCTCTCTGATAAAATCCCTCCTATATTTCATAAACTCACGTAGGGTCACCAAGGGATTTTCAGATATGGTGAACTTGTTATCAGTAGCCCAGGTTTCCATGGCAACCAATACTATCCTGGTGTTAAGTTGTTCTTTATATATCTAGTACATTAACAGAATGAACAAATACATTATGTCAAATAGAACAAAGGTGAGGTTTACCCTTTTTTGCAATAGCTTGCATTTTTACATAACTAAGTAATTATCTTCTTCTACCACAATTTAGTTTCTCCCAGGTGATTTTATCTCCCTTAAAACCAACAAATATGACAACAAAGTAAAATCTAAATTTTAGGCCTAATTCCTCAATCAGCTCTCTTAGTCTGCAAAAAGATCCCTTGTAGGTCCTACACAGGTAGAGGTGCACAGAAGAAAGATATGACTTTTGAAAAATTACTACAGAACCATTTCAAATACTACAAAGATTTGGAATTAATGGGTCTTTTATAAATCCAGCTCACACCAATGACACACAAGGGCTCTCTTATACTGAACAGTGATCTATAAACCCATGATTTTTACTGTTGTACACCTCTACAGGAGTATTTAACCTTACGCTGGCTGAATCAGGAAAAAGAGGCCATCCTGTCAATGCTGGAGGTTAACACTGCACACCAAATACTTTCAAGCATTTTTTCTAGTAATACTTTTATTTTTCTAGCAATACTTTAGTGGCATGAGGTACAAGAGCCAGCATCTCATCCAATTTATCATCATAAACATAATTCACATAGTCCACCTATACATCCCCATTCTAACTCATTTACTCAGATGCACTTTTTCTGGAGAATTTTAGTGCATTCTTATTTCAGATTGTCTTTTGGGTTTCAAGTTGTCAACACAGGGATCTTGTGTTAAAAATTGTCATATCTAAGACGCTCCTTAATACCCAGACTCAAGAGACTGATCCAGCAGGATACTTAAATATTTGAAGCCTCAAGAAGTCTCTAACGCTTTATGTTATACAAAGGCTTTATAGGTGGCTGACTGTGGTTCTACATGAAAAATTGTGATCTTCACATATGTTATTATTGGTATATCATGAACCGACAACTCCTGCATATATCGGCAGGAGAATCATATGACTCATCTCACACATAAAAGAACATTTAGTGGAGTGATACTTACTAAATCTGCCATGTTCACAACTGATTTAGCATAGCTGTTAGTATGGCCGACTGACAAGCGGTGCTTTTTGCACTGCGAAACAAACACAGACAAGTTACATATGCAGAATTCAGAAAAATAAGCTCCATTTCCAAAAAAGAATAAAGTAAAAAGCAACTACTTCAATAGTAAAACCCCTGTGCAAAGTTTGGTCTCCTGTGCTGAATGTGGTGACAATAAGTGATACTGGAAAATTGCTCAGAAATTTGAATTACTGATATACTTTACAACAGCTGTTGTGAGGATCTATTCATTCCTGCTTGGAAAGTACTCTAGACCTTTACTGGGAAATGCTATAAGAACCATAACATATTGTTACTCTTCTTATCTTTATGGTTTGCAATTTTAAAGCCCATCACACATGCCAATGCAGAAATTTGCAAAAAAACTTCTATAGTTGAGACTCCTTTAGAGGTGTTTAGAGGTCCCAGAAGTCCAGAAGTGCCTGTATCCATGTTCTAACATAACAGATTTCCTTTTTCTTTTTTCTTCAGTTCTCTTTCTCAAGCTGTTTTCTGGTTTTCTTCCTGTATAGTTTCACATTCCCTAAATGCCACAGTAACTGGTTCAAATCACTTCAGCAATCAGACTACAATGGCACCTTTAGTGAAATCTGTAATGAAGTTCTATAAAGATGACACTGAAAACAGCTGTCCAGGTACTCCTATTTAGAGGGAAAAAACACCCATGGATGAGCACCATGGGTGTGGAAGTCACAAGTGTCTCAGAGTAATTTAGAATAAAATGGACAAGATTTTCAGAAATGTTTAACTATCTTGTGCCCCATGATGCTTGACTTTGGAGTGAAAATTGTCCATATTTTCTGGAGCTAGGATCTTTTAGTGGGCAAGAAGAAGTGCCCAGCAACTAGCAGGTGAGAAAGATATGGTTTCAAGAAGGAAGGAGGGGGAAAAAACACCAAAAATAAGGAACTTACTTAAAAACAAAACAAAACAAAACAAAAAAAACAAAACAAAACCAGAAGAACATGACTATGAATCTGAAAATGACAGAAAGGATGAAATAAAAAAGCTAAAAAATAAATGGAAAATGAAGCGCTGGAACAAAGGGAAATAAGCATACTACTCAAGTCTCAATTTGCAATTAAAAACTCAAACTTTAGGATACTTAGAGACACTGGAGGCCTACTGAAATATTTTCAGTATAATAATTTATAAGTCCATTTGGGTTTTAAAAGCTTTATTCCCCAGTTGGAAGCAATGGTTGGACAAGCAGCTGAGAGGGCAGACAGGCGGGCACTGCACCCCTCGGGGGACTGGTGGGTTGTAGGCAGTTCCTGGACCAGAGGAGGAAGTACAAATTTCATTGTGCCCTCCGGGAATGCCTGGTGAGGGTGAATGGCAAAAGTAGCTCCAACTCTTTAGGGAGTCAGCCCCATATCGAGTGCACCTGGAGTGAGGAATCGACTGACACACAGAGGGTCATCTAAACATACATGTGCACCAGCCCAGGCCACGGGGCAAGGGACAACCCCAGAGCCAACAACGATACTTCCTTCTCCCATGAGGAAATTATTTGGCTTCTTCAGTCATGGATATTCACTGGCATTTGCTTCAGAGAATAAACTCCTAAGTGGACTGACTCTTGCAGCAGCTGTAATTAACCAAAATCAGGAAACATGGTCCTTGGAGTAAATCTTCCCAAACAGATAAGGTCCCAAGGGGAAAATTTTTGCTTCATGGCTTTAAGAACAAACACAATGACACCAATTTAGGGAATTTGCATCCAGTATTATTGGTTTTAATCCAAGAATTTGTTGCTATGCTCACCAAACTGAGATGATGGAGGAGCACGCTGTCCAAGGACAGTGACACGTTCCTTGTATACTTTGATGTCTATTTTTGCCAATTTGGGTATTGTTTGAGAGAATTGCTGCACATTAAAGAAAGAGTAGATAAAATGTATAGAAATATTTTGATTTTCAAAGCCATAAAGGACCATGAAATCATCTAATGTCACCAGTTGGATGGACACCACCAGTCTGAACTTTCATGCAGTTTCTTCAAGATAGGATTCTATTGTTTGTGTTTGACACTACCTTTGAAGACTGCAAGGGATGAAGAATTCACCATTTCCTTTGATATTTTCTTCATTAATTATTAATCATCTTCACTGACATAAATCTGTGCCTTTTCCCGCTTCAGTGAGCCTGTTTTTTCTTCAATACACTAATCTTTATTATGTCTCTTTCCACTACATTAAAGAGCCTATTTATGTTCTCCCTGAGAAAGTATACAAGCTTAACAAAATAATTTTTTCTATATTGATTTGGATGTATCAAAAAATGCAGTCACTATTAATTTCCCCATTGTCAACAGCTGCTGCACAACTGCAATAACTGCACTATTGATTGCTGAGTGGCTGTAACCAAGACAAGCGTTCAAGAAAGACAGAAAGAAAAGCATCAGCTTAAGTCACACTGATATTACTTTATGACCCTATTTTCTGATACTCAGGTCTAGTTGCATTCCCTGTGTAATTACCTTGCCAAAATTCAGAAACAACTTCATCAACGGTAAATGAAACCAGAATCTTTTTCATTAAGGACATACAGAATGTAATCTGGTCATATATTGTTCTTAATTGTTATCTCTCATGGAAAAATTAAAGATGATGCTAATTATAACTGTAAGATGGTTAAGTGTGTCAGTCTTACCATTAGATGATCATTTACAATCATTAACTCAATGTATTTTGTTTCTTCTTCAACTTTACGTGGAATCTGACGAACCTACAGAGAGAATGCAACTCTAAGATTAGAGTCTTACAATACAGAGAGAGTGTAACAGGTACCAAATGCCTGCACTTCGTGGTTCTCCCACTTTAATAGACAGGGAATGAACTCTCAGTTTAAAATACTTATTTTAAATCAAAATAAAGTGAGCTACTTACCCCCATTGTAACATTAAAAAAAAACATATTTCATTACTGGGACTTTCTGATAAAACTCTATACTCAAAATGAGAGAAAATAGTTTTTCATTTGCAATTCAGCAGTATTTAACAATTTAATAACTCTTTAGGTAAGCAATATCTAAGAGAACCCACCAATGTTTAGCCCAGCACAAGCAGCAGAACTCCATGTGGGCAAATTAACTCAGCAGACATGAAACAAACTTGATGGCATATTACTTATAAACAAGCATATTGGCACATACCTGCCTTTTCCTTCTTTTGTGTCTTGGCCTTACAACAAAATTCTGTGATGTAGCATTCATCTGCCAGAACTCTAAGGAGAAAACACAGACAAATACACTGAATATTTACAGGAATATATTCCAACAATTAGTGACCCTGATGCCACATGACCATAGTACGGCATTCTTCAGCACATCAGATGTGGCAACACCTCATTTTTTAAAGTTTCCAACCAGAAGGGAGGCAACGTTACAGATGCTTCTCAGTAACAGGGCTCTTATTAAAAACTCTACTAGTGATAATCTGGGTCTGTTGAAACAGATGATTTGTGGGTGTCACACTTCTGAAAGCACAGCAGATGTTCTATGCCAAAACTTCACCAACACTGGGCATGAAATATTATTAGCACAGTGCTTCCATGGAGTGAATCACATTTTCAGGAATTCAGCAGCCATTGACAGAGTTCTTGCAATAGCTACCTAAATTAATAAGAAGAGCATGGAAGGCAAATTAATGCTTTAAGAAGATTATATTCACAAAGCAAAATATGTCAGAGTTGGGAGAAACCTTATAAGATTTGGCAATGCTCACTTATCAATACAATATTCCTCCCTGCTAATCCCACTGTGTCTTTAATTTCTTAAACCTCTAATCATATGCACCAAGTAGTTTATTCTGTTGCCAAATCCCTTTCACCAAATCTATTACTAGCCACTCATGGAAAAGGACACATTATAAATTAAGCAGAAGACAATACTTGTTCTCACCCTTTTAAATGTCCAAGAAGTATTTTTCCATCATTAATCTTAGATTCATAGTCGCTGCCTCTCTTTCCCTATACAAAAGAAACCTCTTTCCTTATCTTGTAAAAACGTGTTTGCTATTCACATAACCCCAAGAAGACCTTTCTTTGGGACATGTAAATTAAATGTTTGCAGTTGCTTCATTTGCAATATTTCTTTTTCCTTTTACTGCCTTCCCTCCTTTGTGTTTTCTGCAGCTATGGACATCCTTTCAGTCTCCAGGAACCGAAAAATGCTTCCAGTATTCTAGAATGATTTTACCAGTCCTGCAAAAGAGTAGGTAGTACTATAGGAACTGTATAAATTAAGGGACTTCCACTTCAAACTCCTTTGTACACAACTTCTGGTTGCATTACAAAATCCTGAACAGTTAAATTTCACTGATAAGGCCAGAAAGTTTCTCACAGCTCCGCTTCCCACCTGTACATTAATTGTGTGATTTCTGCATGAGGTTTAAAAATCGGGTTAAAAATAATGCTGATAGAATTTGACAGGGCTACCATATCAGCAAAATCTTAAAACACAAAGCTCAGTTGCCCATCTGAAAAAACATTGCCAGGTCTAAATGTTAATCTTAACCAGCAGTCACTAGTTATTGATAAAACAAACTAGGAAAGCAAAGCATGATTAACTAGTACTGTCTTGGCTAAATCTTGGGGATTATACTGTCATTTTGGTATGTGAAGTTATCTTTTTATGGAACGACCTAGACAATCAGAGGCCCTCTGCTTAAAAATATTTACTGTTACACCAGTGCACTGGAGCACTTTCTTTACAAAAAAAAGAACAAAAATAAATTAAATCACACCAGAGGCTCCCTATTTATAGCTTAAAGACCTTCAGACTCTTGAGTTTGCAATGGTGAGAAACTAAATTACAATTACTAAATTACAACTTTCTTACAACATTGTTTTTATTATGCTTTACATATGTTAGTTAATTTAGCATGTGTTCTAGTGCCACACAACTGGATCTTAACCTGTCATTTTTGGTTTAATAACATGAGTAATGAAACTGGTAAAAATAACACTTTTCAACCAATAAAAAAAAAAAAATTTACAATACATATACAGGGTCTCAGATAACTTTACCAGCAAATGTGATTGTTTTACCACCATCAGAAGTCAGTCATCTCCAGAGGGAAATGATGCAGCCATTAATGTTAACGCATTAACACACATTAACACTGTGTTATAATTCACAAGCTGGATGAATTCACACACGGTGCATTTCCAGCCAAGGGCCTTCAGGAAACAGAACATGGACCAGCAAAATCACAGAAAGTCTAACAGATATTTTGATGGGAGTAGTATACCTGTATACCTTGACAAACTGTAATGAGGATTCACAGTCATAGAATCTTTTTGGCTGGAAAAGACTGCTAAAATCATTGAATCCAATCATAAGCCAAACACCGCCAAGTCCAACTAAACCATTCCCCTAAGGGTCACATCTACACATTTTTCAAGTGATCTCAAAGAAAAAAAAACAAAAAAAAAAAAGAAAAGGACATCTGTTACACATTATTTGAAAAACAGAACCTTCAATACCAAAGTGCTATCTAAGGCCATATCTAAGTCCTCACAGGCTGTGGGAAAAAATAGAGTCTAGTAAACAAAGTCAAATACTCTAAGCATGCCAAGTCATCCATCCAAGCTTTCCTTATTTAAAGTCTTACTACCCCTCAGACAATGGTAAATTCTTTTGTGCAATACCTTGCTTTTTTCTTATTACATAAGGAGCAAAAGAATGTAAAAAGTACACTGCTATCAATGATAGCAATACCATATAATAACATCGGAGCCCCTGGTGGTCTAGTGGTAAAGGCGCGGCGCTATCACCGCCGAGGCCCGGGTTCGATTCCCGGTCAGGGCCACTCCCGGGCAGGTGGAGCTCGTTAGCTCTTAAAAAGGCAACCCATCTACGTCCTAAGGACCTCGCTGCCACCGTCCAAGCTCGCTTGGCCCCGGCAGATGAACCTTAGGATTAAAGGGTGGGCTCAGTTCCGCGCACACTGTGTCTCACCTAAAAAATCCAATGCACAGGCTGGAAGGTGTAAAGACCTTCCCCGGATCTTCACTCGTGAAGACTGGCCATTATATTATAATAACAGTGTGTGCTTTTACTATCACTGATAGCGAATAATCCCTGTTACTTGAATTTTTTCCCTTTCAAACATCAATATTGGAGCTGAAGATATATCCAGTTTATTCCTAATGCAGTGCTTAGTGGAAATCTTACCTTATACAAACATTCTTTTAAAGATAAGAGGAAAGTCTTGGTATCAAGGAATATTTCCTTAGGTTGATCAAATTGATAAATTACAAGAATAATAAGGAATGTAAGAAATATTGATGCCATATCCTAGCATAATGTTTGCTACTACTAACAATAATTCTGCTGTAGTACTTTTAAAAAAATAACAGTACTACTAGCAATTAATTGCAAATATTATTTAAAGAAAAAAAAGACAAGTCAAGACAATACTCAGCACTCTTCAGTGCTGGAAGAGAAGAGGTAGGACCATGCAGGGACACTGGTGGGGCTCTTGTCCTCTGGAGCTGTGGCTATGCATGGAGGATGACTTAGAGAGATAAATTGAATAAACACTGACAAAAAAATTGTGGGATTCTTAATGAGGATGCATTATAACTATAGAAATTTTCACTACAAACCTCAGAAACACCTTTTCAAACAATTTTACAAAAGCAAGTGTGGGCATGTGGGAAAGAAGACTGTGAGTTAATTTCTCCATACATGGTATCCTAAACATAAAGATTCATTCTTCAGAACCAAAATTAGGCAAGCCAGTTGTAGCAATTTCCCTTGGCTTTTTCCTCACTAGCTCTCTGAATTATTCTCCTGAAGAAATTAGTCTAGAGGTGGTTTCTACTAAAACATCAGTGTTTATGAAGAAAAGTTTTACTTATCTAGGATATATATTGTAGAGTAGGAAAATGCATCTGTGATATTGGCAAATCCTTGACAGAATGGGGATATAAATACTGCAATTTTAGCTTCAATTAACATGCCAACTTTTCAGATGAAAACTCATTTTTTTAAAAAGTCCTTCTCTGTCCACACAGAATGTGAAAGGTTTGTGGGCATTCATCACTACAAGCACTTGAAACCTCTAAATTCATTTGCACTGAAATGCATGGCCCTCATTAGAGCCAGTACTGTGAAAGATGCTGATTGGACTGGAGATGAGAGAGTCACTGAACAGCAACGACATTTGGTAAGTTCTTGTCTCCCATGCTTATGCTCACACCATGGTACTTGCCCTGTATCTCAAAACAGGAAAAGTTCATGAAGATTTATCAACCACTGGCAATGTAGGGTTCATTTTTATCATCTTTAGGCTACCTCAATCCTTTCCTCTCTACAACTACTAGCACATAATGCAGTCCATACACCACATGATTTTTTTAAGAGAAACATGAAGTTCTAGAAGTTTCATTCATTGGACTCAGGGTTCTTTCAGCACTTCAGGTTCTTTGTCAATGCTTTCAATGTTTCAAAATCTTTTTTTCAGTGCCTTTTTACTTAATCGGGGAAAAGAAGATACAAACTAAGAAACAATATACTATCAGAAGATGATCTATCAAATACAATTAACAAATTTGGCCTTAGACTAAAACATTTCATAAGTCATGAATAGTAAAAGCTCATACCAGATGGTAGGTCATCAGAAGGAAACTCAAACAACTTGGATTTGTAAACAGAGTGGAAATGGAAGTCATCCTGTAATTGTAAATAATTGCAAGAATTAAACCAGGAAAAACTAGTCCACCTCATGAGCCTTAAACAGACAATTCCAAAGGTTCTTGTTATCCAACACACATAGCAGAGAACATGCAAGTTGCAAGGCACCATTCTTCTCCTTTACCCAACTGTAATATGATTGCTAATGTCACGGTTAATCATCTTTCACTGGAAATATCTGAGTACATCAGAGTGGCTGATGCTTAGAGCTGGGCTTAAGAGACACATATATATACACCACTGCCTAATTTTTGTCAGTGATGATGGAACCTTCCATATGAGGTAAATGAGTGGAGAATGAGGGTATGACCCTTTGGTCCCACAGCCTTATGCCTACCCTGTACCCACGGATGACTGTAGTCAACAAACACAGCAGGACTACTGTACAGTTCTACTTACATCTGAAGTGTAGTTCTCATCTGGTTCAATAAGGTAAGTATGATTTCCATCATAGAACATCCCACTGTCAAGAGCAGGAAAGGTAAATATGGTTTACTAAACAAATACTGGTGCAACATGGAATTAAGTTTAAGAAGTTCATATACTTTAAAAATTTTAATATTTAGAAAAGGAAGCAGTTAAAACTGGTTTCAGGAACTGAATGCAATTTCAGATCAATCTTTTGTTTTTTTCACTTCAGAAAGAAAGATTTTCTCCTGTGGTGTAACAGACTGTTCTTTCTTCCACAAACCTTTCTACAACATATATAAACACAAAAAAATGGACTAATTTAGTTAACTGAAAATCCAGTTCAAAGTCCCCACTCCCACGCAAAAGACATCTACCTGCAACAGATAAGTAAAGGACCTGTCTTGATGAACATGCATATTTGGAACATAAGCATTGGCTTTCCTCAAATAAAAATGTTATTTAATGGAATTAACCTTAGGCTTTAATGGGTTTTATTAACTCTTTCCTCAGTATTTCATTTAAAGATCTGTATTGATACTGGTATTACACTGTAAGAGCATAAAATCAAAAGGTATTTCTTATATCACTACCACTATGATCTTCAAGCAAATCAGTGTATTCTTTTAATAATTGTGCCTTTATTTCAGTGGCATACACACATGCTTGGGATTAGGCTGTATCAGCATGTCCCTTTCAAAGGGCCACTACTAAGGCTTGGCCATAAATATGAACTGTGAACTCGAACTCGGCACATAGCACACAACAGCAGCATGAAAGCAAGATTATTTATTTATTTGCATTAATCTTAAAAACCAAATAAACCAAAATAAACACTGAATTGTAAACAACAAAACAACAAAAATTCTCTTTTCTCCTATGCAGCAGGTTTTCCTAATCAGTAAAATTGACATTCACAGAAGTATCTTGGGTTATCGACTTTATAACACACATCTGCGTGAGCGTGAGTAATTTCTAAAATGTAAAGCTGTTTCACCATTCAAATTACCTGTGACTATTATTTAGAAACAAATACTGTTTACACAGCTCAAGTGAAATATTCTAGCACCTGCTGAAGCTTCTTTGCTTGGAAATAAGGCGAGGTTGGGGAATACCCTGTAGATTTTTATTAGGCAAAACTTCCTTCTAATTGCAATTGTAGTTAAGCACAGTCTGCAAGTCCATCAGCAATGGATGTGTTAGAGAGAAAACAACATCAAAACATGAGCCATTTCAAAAACCTACATTTTGATGATGTATAGCCTTCAAACAATCAAACTTGTAGCCATGAAAGTCAAATCTGCAGCAGTAACGGCAGTTTTAACATTCACCACCAGCCGGCAGCAAAATCCCAGACCTGCCTGCTGCCTGTGCCCTCTCCTCCAAAGCCAGGGCTGCCTGACTATAGCTTATTTATATCCCAGCAACCGCCGTGTTTTGCATTCAAAGTCTTTTTTGTGTTAACCCATACGAAACCGTGGTTACTGCACATCCCACAGAAAACAACAACAAAAATCTAAACAAAATTGCTCGCTGGAAGTTAAGGTTGCAAAGGTACCTTTGTCAATAGCAAAGTCATTAAGAAGAGAAGACATTCATAATTGTAACTATTGTCAGCCAGTCATCCGACTAATTTAACTAATAAAAGGAAGCGCACAAAACAGACATTACCAACAGAAGAACTTAAAATTTATGCTTAAAAAACCCCAACATTGTCTCACATGTATGAAAAATTCTGCTACCAGATGAGATCTAGAGATACTAATAAGCAGGAGAGGAGACTGGCATGAACTTCAAGAATATGCAGCTTGTTATTCTATTAAAGGCATCTATTCTGTCTTATGCACTTCTTAAAATTCATGAAAGCAAAGCTCCTGCCCTGTATACCTTATTAGAAGACAACCCTTCCCAGAGTCCCTTATTCCAGCGAGGTGCTTCAAACTGTGGTTGAAGCAAAGGAACTCTGATTGCCAGCGTGAGTTTCTAGTAACTACTTATAATTTAAATTTTACTGTGTGGGAACTAATTGTAATGACAGAAATGCAGAATCAGAAAATGTGAGTTTAACACAGCTCAGGAAAGCATTACTTTCTCATACTGGATGTTCGAATTACCAGCCTGCTAGAGAAAGATTGTGTGAAGGATAACTCTGCTGAAACTTTATTGTAACAGGAAAAAAAAAAGGGGGGGGGGAGGGAAGATACCTCTCAAGAGAGAGCTGAATGATACAATTAAAAACATACATCATTTTTGATGCATCATTTTGACCAATTTGAATATCAGGCCATTTAAGAATACAGAGCAGCAGGATGGTCAGTCTTAAGAATAAACCCACAAAAAGAGGGCAGGGAAGGACAGATGCAGGCTCTCCTTCCTTCCTTCCTGCTTTTTCTCCTAGGAGTTAGCAGGGGCCAAGACCTAATGGATCACTGCTAATGGAAGCCATGCATCGGCTCAGGATGCATTAGGATGCTACTATTTTTAGTCTCGCTGTCCATACTGAAACTGGGCTCAAGTTTCTTGAGCTGCACAGCTGTAAATCAGGTAAGTGCCAGGATGCGAGCCTTCTGCATGCATTCTCGCCCTTCCTAACAAAGAATATACAAGTATAAATATACTATTAAATAACACTTCTTAAATCTATGTACTTATATGGCTGATACCAGAACTACAGACTAGCTGGAGATAAACAATGGGCTGAAGATTTCCATCAGCTAAGCCCCTTTTCTGCAGAAAAAGGCAAAGCTCACATAACCTCCACACAGATTCATTTGCTGCCATGACTTTTCAAGCTGATCTCAGTATCAAAAGTGCTGAGATCCTGTAATTCCCAGATGCAACAGGCACTGAAGTTGCTTGGTTGCTCTGAAAACCTGACTAGCATCATTCAATAGTACCAAAAGTAGACAAGTCCAAATCAAAAACACAGCTTCATGTAACCTTCAGATGACAGATGCTTTAATTATATTATCAGTAAAATTATGATTTTCAAAGCAAAATTATTGCACCACTTTATATCTTTTCTTCTAGATTTTTCAAGATTTTACTATATCAAAGGTATTATTCCATGCACACAACTTAAGGCCAGCAATTCTGTTAAAAACAAAAAAAAGGATAGTACAAAATAAACTCTAAACTGACATTTTCTTTCTAAAGAGATTACAAAAGAAAGATAATATATAGCATTGTAGCAAAAAGAAAAGAACAAAATTTCCAAATGATACACTGGTACTTCTACTCTGTCTCTAATAAATTATCTTAAAATAATACCTGGCCACTGCCATAAGTGCTGTTTGGAAAAAAAAAAAAAAAAGAAAAAGAAAAAGAAAAAAAGAAAAAAGAAAAAAGAAAAAAAAAAGACATTCTGAAGATTGTTGAGTATTAATATTGGTGCCAAAATAATAGGAAAATAAATAGCATTTATTTTACTATATACATATATTATTGTACTATAAATAGCTTTACTTTCCTTAAAGGAGTAATAAACAAAGGCCAGTAAAACTCAAAAAGAGACTTACTGTAATCCATGGCATGTTGACAAGGCAACAAATGATACAGGATTTCCTCGAATTTTTCCCTGATAATAGCAATGTTCTCCTCCCTGAAATTAGAAATTGAGACTGTAAATCTGCAGGACATCCCGCAGTATCACACACCATACTGTCAAACACTGTTTTTCCATAAACACATATCTAAGCCATTGTCATGGGACAACAGGAACCGACTATCACTCACAAGGGTGTTCATCTCATCTCCTTTTAGCCATGTTTTGGTACTTAGATAAACAACATCCTGACACTCTACACTGAATTGAGGTATTTCCAGTGTGAAATCTGTGACATCCTGAGACAGATTTTAGAGACAAATTACTCCAGAAGTGCTCATCTTTCTTCATTGACCAGGAAGAGTTGGAAGTAGGGGGCTTAGGCTCAGCATCTGTTCTGCACATGGCTACATCAGACAAGATGAGCTCTGCTCTGAGGGTAAGGCAATTTCCTTCTTCTGAGGAGAAAGGTATTTTACCAAATAATAATCAGAGAATCCCAGAATATGCTGAGTTGGAAGGAACCCACAAGGATCGAGTCCAACTTTGGCCCTGCACAGGACCACCCCCAAGAGTCACACCATGTGCCTGAGAGGATCATCCAAACACTTCTTGAACTCCATCAGGCTTAGTGCTGTGACCACTTCCCTGGGGACCCTGTTCCAGCACCCAGTCACCCTCTAGGTGAAGAACCTTTTTTCTAATATCCAACCTAATCCTCCCCTTACACGACTTTAAGCCATTCCCTTAGGTCCTGTGACTGGTCACCACAGAGAAGAGATCAGTGTTTGCTCCTTCTCTTCCTCTCATGAGGAAGTTATGCTTCATTTAAAAAAAACAAAAGAGCAAATCAGAAGTAGTCACTCAGGCAACAAAAACAATGGAAAATCTAAGTGTAACTAAGCAGTAAAGAAATACAATGAAAATTATTATTTGCCTCTTCTGCAAGTAAAATATACACCTTTCAAATCAAATCCAGCAGACCCTATTCAAAAAATACCCCCTAGTTTCACTGATAGGGATGTAAGTTCTACTGCACATGCACCAAATCTGTTCAGCATTGAACCATGTCAATACTTGTATGCAGAATTAGAAAAAAAATCCAAACTTCCCTAAAATTCTCACTGTCACTCTACCCTTCAGAAGAACTTACCTATTACCAAATTCAGCTATGTTGTAATGCACTAATCTTGGTTAAAGGACTATGGAGATTTTCTGTGCGCCTTTTTTTTAATAGCATTTCTTTGCAAATACTTGTTTCAGCAAATGTGTGAATAATCTACCTAGCCTAATGTACCCAGCCATGTGAATATTTATGTCCATTTACTGCAAGGAGGGAAAGGCATTACAATTACAGCTTTTTCAGAAGCCAGCAGTCACTTGTATGATGCATAGCACAGTCATTTTAGACATCTGACATTAAATGCTCTTGGATTTTATTTTTCAAATATGAAAAAAAAATTATCAAGATGAGGCAAAAGGCAAGAAAATACATAGAATATGTTGGTAGTTTTGTATTTTGACTGGGAAATCCTGTTGTTTTCTAAAAGATGTGCAAACTATTTTTGAAAGCAGCTACAAAGTATGGATGCCTCTGAGGTGCTCTCCTTAAGAGAGTATAGGAGCTTGTTTATCAGAGCATGGCTGCTTGCAGGGAAAGAGACTTGACCTCAACCTGATCACTGGAAATTGTTAGTTCCTCTTCAGAATCTTCTCTGGAGGGTCCATGCATGCCACGCTGCTGCTGGACCCCAAAGCACCAACGCAGGGTACCTGGGGCAGCAACAGCAGCAGCGCTGCAGAGAAATGCAACACCTGACCAGGCAGATTACGAGTGACACTATTTGAGGCTTGTGGCTTCACTCAGCAAGAGATTCCCTGTGGCATAGCTTCTGCTAAAAGTGTTACACTTCCCCCCACCCCGCCCCTCCAAATTTCATTCCATCTCATTATTTCCTCTCTTCTACATACCACTTTTTCCTTCCACTTGCTGCAGTGACTGCAGCCATCTCCACTGCCCATCTATCTCGGCATCTTTGCCTTTGGTACAGACACAGAACACCTTCACCAAACTGACCTGGTATCATGTCTGAAAGAAAACTGGTGCCACACAGGTAATGTTCTGTCTCGTGTTGGTGAGAAGCTCTGGGGCTGACCTGTACCAGGCTACAACGGGGTGTCTGGCAGAAGCTGTAAAACCCACCACCCTCGGATCAGCATTTCTCAAGACTAACAAGGGTTTGGGACACAGAACAATTACCACTGAAAAGGTGGTGGTTTGAGTTTCTGCTTTGCACTCACATGCATTTCAGCCACCAACATCCCAAGTTACATTTGATTTCAGACCCTACATTGTTTTTGCTGAAACCTTGGCTCATTTTCTCCATTTTATTCTCCTTTTTAACGTCTATTTACTTCTATATTTTAGCTACTTAAAGCTCTCTTTATCTGAGATTTTCTTTCTTTCAATCAGTAGAGTGTCGCCCACTACAGGATCATGAGACTGCTTAAGGCTTTCAGGGCTTTTTGGAATATGTGAATAAGAAGTAAACAAAGAGGAACTCCAATAAGCAAATAACAAAACTAATAATCAAATTACGTGGATGATCTAAAACCTTATGAGTAATAAAATACTCTCTAAAGAGAATTTTTTCAGCAGTATTCCTGTAAAAGATATAACTAGAATAAGAGCATGAATATGGGAATAATGTTGAAAAGACTATCAGTAGGGAGTTGTACAGAGTTCTAGCTGTGGAAGGAATTTGGAGTAATTACACAAATTGGTTTGTTCTCAGAAAATGTAGTTAATATGTACTAGAAATAGAATCTCAGGCTCCATTAGTTTGCAAAACCATGTCTTTGCAAACAGGAGGAGCCTTTTTTCATACTAAGAATCCAGTCTGTGGCTCAAAAGTGTGTTTTGATCTTCTTAATGAGAATCAAATAAATGCCCCATGACAGTACCTCCAAATTAATACATTCTGTAATAAATCCATAGGAAAAAATTTACGAATACAGACCTAGAAAAGAAAAATATAAGAAAAACATTTCTTGCCTGGGAAAAATTTAACTCAGACACACACCTTCTATTCAGTCAAATCAATTCAACTCAACTCATTGATTTACTAAAGTTCTTAGTAGTTCTGGTGGAGACAGAAACACAGCTGTGATCTTGGTCATCTAGGGAATATTTTTTATGTATGTACTTATGTTCCTATCACCATAATGTAAGTCCCTTCAAACCAGTTAATAAAATCAACTTCAGTTAATACAATTTAATTTTACTTATTCAAATGAAAATAGGGGTTTTTTCAAGTACTTAATGCATTAGTGGTGTGTTGGTTTCTTTCTGAAGACAACTCTTCAGCATAAGAAACCCTGCTGTCAGGATACTCCTAAGTGAAGTTCTGAGGATTTTTATAATCTCAGCAAGAAAGTAAGAGGTGATGCAGTGACATCAGGTGGCACAAGCACTGGAAGGCTCTGGGAACAGTGATTACTTAGCACTCCTTACCATGTATCAAGTGGATAAACATGCCAGTAACACATGGCATGTGGTGGAAAGGGTGTAAATTGTATATTGTCTATTTCGAAGACTCATTTTCAACAGTTCACAAAATCTGTGAAGAGAGAAGCACTTAAAGCTACAGATTCTGAGACTGGAAGTGTTCAAGAAACCACTGGATGTGGAACTTAATGCTATGGTTTTATTGGCATAGTGGTGTTTGGCCAAAGGTTGGACCCAATGAACTCGGAGGTCTTTTCCAACCTGAATGAGTTGATGATTCTATGGGTCTGTACTGAGAATTAGGGACTCTACAGGTCAATGTTTTCTTTAGGGCATATGCACCTTTGGACAAGAAGTTTACTGTCATTGCCTCCCGTACTGCTGAGGCTGAAATTATGTTGGGTTTGACAGGTACTAAAGCTCTTTTATAGCAGGTGCTGTAGTAAAATACACTGTACTAGAGAAGGAATCATAGTATATGGGAGATCTAAGACCACTAAAGGACTAAATGTAATCATTGTATCTCTCTTCTTTTCCTCTGCTCTTGGAAACAATCCCTAAGGCCTGGGGTTGTCTCTCTTCTCTATTGGTATCTGTAGCAGTGAGATAGAAGCTGAAAAAAAAAAATCTTATTTTTTTTCCTAAAAATATTCTAGCTCCATATGAAAATTAAAACTTCCCCCAGAGGGAAGAGTTGAAATTACCATCAACAGCAGTTCAGTCCAGAACATCAAGGGTGTTTTGTGAAGAGCTATTGGCTTCCTGTAGCTATTAGAGTGTCTCTCTGCTCTCTCAAAAGCAGGCAATAATTGCCCATCTCAGCAAATCAAACCTCCACACCGGCCTTTGTCAGCTACTGGGGAATGGTTTAGTGTAAGATAAAGGGAAATCAGACCGCTCTTCTAACATATGCCACCATAAGTGTGAGCGGCACATTTACCCATTTCTGCTCTAAAATTGAACCTGGCCAGTATGGAGTGTGGGAGGAAATTAGGCTAAATGTCATCTCCTACGAGACAAGGTCAGCCTGGTGACAATGCCTGTGACATAAACCTGCAACCCACACAGGCACACACTCACACCTTGTCCACGGGCACACTAATGCTACAGCAGAGAGAAGTTCAACATTTTTGCCCCCACAAGGTGCTCAGCCACTGTTTGTGCTGTAGTTTGCATCACACAAGGCAAATTTTCTGCCAGTGCCACTCTTGTCCATTTCCTTGGATCAGTAAGTTATCCTTCCCTCATGAAACTTCTCAGGCTTACCATTCACATCCAAGGGCAATACAAAATATACAGTTGTTTAACAAGGAATCTATCGAATTGGAGAGATAAAAATGTAATAACATTCTACAAAAAAAAAATAAAAGGAAAAAATCAGGATGACACCAGGGTCGATTAAAACAAATTAATCTTTATGATAGTGGTCACTTTGTGATATAACCTTCATCTTGATGCTTCATTTGCATAACTATAGCAAAATCCTGAATTAGGGGTATTTGCCCTGTGAACTGGTGCAGCTCATTGCCAATAAGATGCAACTTTTTTG